TAATAATAATAATAATAATAAGGGGTGTGCACTAGCCGGTTTAAACTGGAAAACCGGACCGAACCGGACCGGAAAAACCGGAACCGGATCAAACCAGAATGATATCCGGTCCGGTTCGGTACGGTCCGGTCCGGTTTTGAATCGGTGCACACCCCTAATAATAATAATAATTATTAGGGGTGTGCACTATCCGGGTTTAAACCGGAAAACCGGACCGAACCGGACCGGAAAAATCGGAACTGGATCGAACCGGAATGATATCCGGTCCGGTCCGGTACGGTCCGGTCCGGTTTTGAACCGGTGCACACTCCTAATAATAATAATAATAATAATAATAATAATAATAATAACAACAACAATAATAATAAAATATGATCTGGTCTGGTCTGTTTTAGTCTGGTCTGGTCTGGTCTGGTCTGATCTATTTTGATTTGGTCTGGTCTGATCTGGTCCGATCTGGGATGAATTACGGTCCAAGTAAAAACAACCGTAAGATTGATGTGCGAAAGCAGCTCCGAATGATTATTTGGGGTACATGATACTGATTTTTATAGTATGTACTACGGGTATTATATTGCTTTATTGGTGATTGTTGCCTTGTTGGTAGTAGGGAATATATTACTTTAAGTTATTTTTTAAATACCTGTCCTTTTTAATATTTCATTTTTCATTCCACTAATTACCATAGTTTTCCTTTTCAAAAAAAAAAAAACAATTCTATAAGAGGAACTAAGAAGGGGAGGAAACCCTTGTTAATTCTTATTTGGGAGTTGCAAATTTGAATAAGTGGAACTAAGAAGGAATTATAATTAAAATCACATATATAATGAATTCAATTAGTTGAATATACATTTTTTTAAAATTAAGTTAAAGTTATCGTTTAATTAGTTATCCTTCAAAATCCCCCAACTTTGAGGAACTTAAAAATTGAGCATTTTGAAAAAATTTGGACGATTACAAAAGCCTTTCAAAATCATTCCCTTCATATTTTTAAACTCTCAAACATGAAAGGGAGCGTCATAAACCCTTGTCAACCTTCCGCTCCCATCCAAAACCCAACTCCCAAATATACCGTAAAGAAAAATCTACCATGTGTGGACTATTTTTCTTTAATGCTCATTATTAGAAACAGACTAATTAAGGAGCCATATACTCCGTATTTATGAGTAAATCATACCCGTACCAATTTTGTAACAATCATTGTGTAAATAGAAGGTAAGTAGGTCCACAAAAGAAGATGTTGCTCTTAGTTCACAATTCATCATCTTTGAATGAAAACAAGGATTTCTACTGCTCTTCTACTTTCCATAAAGAGGTGCAAAGAGTACCCACCCATCCAACTACTCCTCCCCCCACCAAGAATAGTTTACTCCTATCAAACAAAAAATACTACTCGTATAGAATATGAATGTATAATACTCCGTATAAAATAGCTTAAAGTACTTCCATTTCATTAATTAACATTCTTTTTATTAAATTGTTATCAAAGTTAACAAAAAAAGTGACTAGAAATAACAAGAACTCCATACAGAAATTGCTCAGAATGAATTAAATTGCACAAACAGAGATATTACGTTTTACTCCAAGAGTAGGCGTGGTTTGTCCTAAATAGTTAAAACTTTTTTCATTGAGCTATGAATCATATTTTGAGAATAATGTCAAAATGTACATATAACCTTTTGTGTAAATTTTCTTCTCTCACAGTAATTTAAATACTCAAAACTTTTAATGTTATTCTTGTTCTATTTCAATCATAACTTAAGCATATTAGCAACAATCTCTTCTCTGAAAAAAGATAAAATTAAGGTGTTATGTACGGAGTATCCGTTAAGATATCACTTAGAAATTTAAGCAAACCCGTGAATGTTCTGTGTCAGCTAATAAAGACTGTAACTGGTTGTACAGAACAAGGATGCACAATAAGTCTGGATATACCTTTGAAGGTCACAATTAGTAGGCTGCCATTTATACTTGAGGTAAAGCTCATCACTTCTGCCATTCTTCTGGCAATTCAACCCTGCGTCAATAAATTTGCAGTCTTCATAAAGAGGGTAAGAATCATCTTCAACCCAACTTCCTTCAAAAAAATTGCAGCTTTCTGATTCACTTGTCTCCTTTCGTAGGCCTACAATTGTGTCTATTGAATTCAATGAGGGGAGCTGTAGAAGAAGATTCAGGAGGAGGAGGAGGAGGCTCCTGTGATGAGTCCATGTATCCATTTTCTTACCGGACAGAGAAAATGGCAATTAGATACAGGCTTATATGAATTAAAAGAGGGAAGGGAGGGACAGGGGAAAAGTGGGAGAAGTGTTATAAGGTTTTAGTATTCATAAAAAGGATTACTCTTTTTATTTTTCTTTTCTGTTTAGGAATCATATATGTCTTCAATTTTTTGGGCTTCAATAATAATGCCCTTCTTAGCTAAATGACAGCCAATCCCACCGTTTTCTTGCTATGTTCTTTTCTTCTATTGAGTTTTTTGTGCTTCTTCCACTTTCATTCAAATCAGAGCGAATCGGGACCGGTCTGTTCGAATACCGGGATAAAAAATGAGGGTTCCGAGTCAGGACTGAGACAGGGCTAGTGGGAAACACGTCATGGACCTCAATTTTGGGACCAGATCAGTACACTTGTTTTTTTTCTTTTCTTGCATTAAAACTATTGAAAAGCATTTTATAATGTTTGAGATAATCGCCTGAAATCTACGCGGTCTTCTCCTTTAGATTAGGGTTCAACATTTTTTACCGACCTCCGGTGCGGTGGCTTGAATCGCAGCGAACCACTGTTTCGTAGGAACCGCGGAGGGACGAGCGAGAGAAGGCCAGCGAGGAGGAGGGACCGGTGGACAATCTGGTCGAGAAGTATGCGGGTCTAGGAAATGGTGAAGCTTCGGACGAATTGGTGCTCGACGACGAAGAGGAAGGGTCCACGACGGTGGGGGAAGAGCAACCGACGGAGTTACAGGTGGTAGGGACGATCCTTACGGACAAAGCGATTCGTTTTCAGATCTTTAAGGACCTCATGGTAGCTTTCTGGCGCCCAGGCAAATGCGTTTCCATTAAGGAGATCGGAGAAAAGAGGTATCCCTTTAAATACTTTCACTCCGTTGACATGAATCATGTTGTGGACAATGGTCCTTGACTGTTTCATCAGAATTTGCTGGTTCTATGGGCCATTAAATCAGGGGATATCCCGCTTAAGGTCTCGTTAGATTTGGTTGAACTCTAAGTACTGAAACATAATGTGCCGTATAGTTATGCAAATCTTGAAACTGCTGGGAGAATTAGGAACTATCTGGGATAATTTGTCAGGTGGGATGACAATGTGTTTGATGAAAAATGGGAATCTTGCATGAGGGTTAGAGTTCGTATAAATGTAGGTAAACCCTTGAAAATTGGAACTACAATTAGGAACTACAATTAGAAAATTTTCCCTCTATTGTATGAAAAAGGAGGACAAAGATTGAATAAGCCATTTGGCGCGTGGCTAAGGGCGGGTGGAAGGAAGAATAGACCATCTATGGGAAGCAAGTGGCTGGGTTCAGCAAGCGACAACAACAAGACTCACATGGATATGTCAACTCAGGAGCAGAGCCCAGATGATATTGAGGTTTTTGAGAAGGTGTATGTGCCCAAGGCTGGTGATCCTCCTCCGAGAGTTGTTGAAACGAGGGTACGTTATTTATATATACATGAGTTGTAATATTTGTAATAGTTGTTTATTTTACTTGCTAAATATACTTCTGTTATATTTTGCAGAAAAAGTACAATGATCTGAAGGCCCAAGCAGAATCTGAGGGGAAGTCCTTTGACATTGATGATACCGAGTTGTTTTGCAAGGCCGTGCCGGAGTACAAGGGGCGGCGGTTTGGGACGGGTTCCGAGGCAGAGGTGTTGTCGGGCAGCATGGATTGCACAAGCCGAATCACGGGACCGAGCCAAGAAGAGATTGATGCCCGCATTCAGGAGCAGGTTGATGCCCGATTTGCCCAGCAGCAGCAGATTTGGCAAACCCAGATGGGCAACATGACGAATACGTTCATGTCGTATTTGGAGCAGGTCCGGAGCATCAACCCGAGTGTCCCGCTGCCCGAGTTCTCTGGTTTCCGAACATCGACTCCTCACGGAATTAACAGCCTTCTGAACGGCTCTCATGACGTGCCCATGGATGATCTTTTTGATGCTGTGAACTGAACTCCCAAACTTCTGAACATTTTTTTTATTGTAACTTCTTTTAATGGCTTTTTTAGCCATTTGCTTGGACTGTTTAATTACTGTTTTCTTTCAACTGCTATTTGCTTTCAACTGCTAATTAATTTTAGTTCTGTTTATGTCATGGTTGTGAATTGTGAATATTGTGAATGTATGTGGTGTTGTATATGTGAATTTGTTACTAATTTTATGTATGGTCAAAAACATTACATTTCTGTAAAAAAAATTGAAACGTATAAAAAAAGTATAAAAAAATGTATACCATACTTTGTACGGTATACGTTTTTTTAATACCCGATATACTTGTTGGCACGGATTTATCCGATCCATAAACCGCTGTAAACTTGGTCGGTTGGGTTCCTATAATCCGAGGCAAATTCCGAGACAAGGGAAATCCGTGCCAAGCTTTGAGGGATTTGGATGCTAATTTTTGGCCGCAATATTCTAGACAAAGGCCGTGCCAAGTGTTGACACGGATTTATCCGATCCATAAACCGCTATAAACTGGGTCGGTTGGATTCCTATAATCCGAGGCAAATTCCGAGACGAGCGAAATCCGTGCCAAATTTTGAGGGATTTGGATGCTAATTTTTGGCCGCAAAATTCTAGACAAAGGCCGTGCCAAGCTTTGACACGGATCCTATAATTCGTGCCAACACGTTTGGATCGACCTAGGTGGCACGGAAAGGATTTCCGAGCCAAAACCGAGCCAAGAGCGATAATCTGGGAATTTTAAGGGGTTATCCGAGCCAAAATCCGTGCCTATACCAAGGTTTTTTAGTAGTGAATACCACCAATCAACAAAGTTGATCATACAACGATTGTTGTTGATTATACTGCAGTACTCCAAATGCGGAGAATTTACAATGCTACTGATACCGGTGATCAATGAATTAATATAATGTTACATATTTCAGCAATAATACTGAAAAAATAACTCAAGGAAATGGTAGAAATAGTACTGTAAGTATACAGAAGATCATCAAAGAATAATGTTGTATAGTATTTCATTCCAAGTATCAGGAACTCCAGCTAGACACCAATGGCTGCAATCCATCCCGGTCTTGCCCCCGAGCCCGTAGATCGAAGGGTGGCCGTCTTTCCGTAACAATGACAAGTTTGTGACATCAAGCAATGTAACCGGCTTTTCTATTGTTCTGAGCACTCTCTTCAGAACAGCCAGTGCTGGAGGCAGGCCTCCTGGATACGTCGATCCACGCAATGGCGCTTCCTGTCCTACGCAACTCGTCACGCCCGGTTCGTTCCAATCAGTGCCGCTGCCAACAGAAGCGATAACGTAATTAGTTTACATAATTCATAGATTGGCAAATGAGAAAAATCTAGCTGCATGAGAGGCTAGGCTTTATTACTTGTAATGGGATGGGGAAATTCCTTGGAAGAAAACTGTTGTTTTTGAAGGGTCAATGTTTGTGTCCACCCAATTAGCCCATGTAATCAGTGCCTTCTCGAAAGCAACCATGCGATCCATGTCTTTGTAATATTGGTCTCCGATTCTGATGTAATCCCATCTACACATCAAACGACACAACTCTTGTTTAAACTAAGGGTCTCAAAACTGATTCTAATTAAAAATGTTTTTAATTGGACTAAAATTTTGCGATCTAATCGGGTTTGGTCTAGTTTGTTTGAATCTAATCTGGTCTGGTAAATGTCTGATTTATATGTATTTTATAACTGTCAAATCTAGTTTGGTCTGGTCTAAATAATTTTGATCTGATTTGATCTGAAATTGAAATAAGTTCCTGTAAAAACATCTTAAATTGTATGTTTGACACACCACAATTCAAGGTAACCAGTTAAGGATTTGTTTGGGTAACTTATCCAGGGGTAATTGTTCTCAAGTTAATTTTAGAGCTCACATTTGTTCCACATACTTGACCCATACAGTTAATAAGTTTACCAAACTATACAAAAGATTATTGACCCATTTAAACTAAATTTTAGTATACAAATAACAAAAATGATCTTTGTAGCCACACTTATACCCACTTTGTACCCATGTTTGTGAAAGTTTTTTTTATTTTGTTTGTAAACATCGATTCACAGAATATTTTGTTTGGGTACATCAATCCAGCTTCATTTTAATTTCTTATGTTTTTCAGTACATAATGGTATTATTTGTACAATCATGCTTGATGTACCCACCCTTATACGCACCTTATACTCACCCGGTTCACAGACAAAAAAAAAAGCTTCACAGTGGGTATAAGGTGCGTATAAGGGTGTGTACATCAAGTTAACTTCAGTCAATACGGGCAGAAAATTAACTTCAAACTTATGTATTTAATAAAAAAATTGGTTGATAAGGTTAATAAGCTGAAAAACAGTCTCACCAAACTACCAATTTTGGTAAAAAGTAAGAAGAAAAAAAAGTAGTGTATTTAGGACTAACGGTTGAGTGATTCCTCTGCGGTTCCACCAATGCCATGTGTTGAAGATGAGCATATCGATTCCAAACCATAGCTTCCCACCCTGCATCGAGTCCAGTCTCAAGATTCTCCCCTTCTCTTCCCTAATAACATCCACCAAATACACAGTGCGGTCCAACATTACTTTCACATCATATTCCTGAAACGCATTTCATTTAGGCATATAATAATCCATATATTCGGTATTGTTTATCCACCATCACATTCCTCAATTGAGAACACTTTAGTCACACAACAATTCACAACAGAGTGACAAAACTTTAAGCCTCCTCTAAATTTAGGAAATTCCTTACTAAAAATCGTTCAACTGTGACTACTTTGTTTTCTTTCTAAAATATAATAATGCAATCCCTCTTAAAAGTTGAAGTGTTTAAATTAGTGTCAAAACGAGCGAGCGTACGACTTCATAATCGTTACCAATCTCTTAACGAGCGATCAAATGTGTGTGAAAGTGGTCTAAAACAATTGAAATCACTCTTAAACTATCTTATGTGCAATTATAATTCCAGTTGCACACAGTTAGAGGTTACAAAAGATATCAATTAAATCATTCAAACACAAATTAAATAAATAATCATGCATCTAAACCCTTAAATTATTCGCAGTTAACTTACCTAGTGCTTGTTAATTTTTTATGATGTTGATTTGCTTTGAACTCGAGGACACTGTTGTAGAGTTTAGTCCTTTATGGACTTGTCATGCTTCATGTGTTTTGCCCCTTTGTGATCCGGGAATACATTGTGTATTGTCTCATATTGCTTGTATCGTCTTTGTGACAAGATTTGTAATATTTCGGCAATTATGAGTCTTGCCTAAGTGCACTACCTTGGGTCAAAGGTGAAGATTGTTAATATATTATTGGCCCAAATGGTGTTTTATATTAAAACTGGTTGACACCCCGTTTGGCAGCCAACTACTCCTATTCCAGTTATCAAGCTTGGTTTGTACCCTGTTTTCTTCTCCCATTTGAATTTAAACTCTGATCATTATTGAAGAAATAAGTGAGTTGATCGTATGTTCCCAACCCACTACTCCTATTCAGTTACCACTCATATTTGTTCATCCAGCTTCAGGCTAGTAAGTTAAATCCTCCCCTTGTATTATGTGGAAAGTCTTGCGCTCCTCTGGATGAGCAGGTGTTTTCCAATTGACAACCTTTTCTACTTTCTGGCCATATATAGCATCTTATGAAGCCCTTCTTAAGTTAGATAGTGAACTGCCTATCTTTGTGAATCTGAGTGAGAGAGAGTAAGGCATGACTACCTAAGGTAGTTGCTCCCTTAGCCCGAAGTCGGTTTTTGATTGCCTTGTATGGGTACGCATAAAACGCAATCAAAAACCGACTTCAGTCTACCTAAGCCGAACAGGTCGACAGAACGGATCCCCAGCAATACCGACGCACTCTATGCAATACCAATTTAGTAATGCGGGCATTTCAAGTAAAATTAACGTTACCAAAGGGCCAAATGGGCAGTGTGGCAGTATGCTTCCTCCAATCCTCCATCTTAGCTTATCCTCTGTTTTATCTTCGATTTTTCATAATGTTTGTTATATTTAAATGGAAAAATTGAAAATAATAATCCCAATTAGTGCATGTCCGCTAACAATAATCCCAATTATTGATTATTTTTGTATAATCCCAACTATATGGATCGTCCGTCAATAATGTTCATGACAAAATATTATCTTCTATAAAAGTGGGTTTTAAATAGAAATTTTGGTTAGACCACACCAAAGATAAATAGATGAGATGGTTTCATATCAAATTTAACTCGAATCTAACTAATAACGTTCATTGATTAAACATTAATAGAATGTTACCGTGAAGGTGAAGGTGGAGACGTCACCAATCCGGGTTTGGTTGTAAGTGGTCACGGGCGAGGTTGAAGTGTAAAGGAGACAAGTGAGTGACTGCCACTGATTCCGGCTCAAAGAATCACCCACAAACATTATGCTTTTCCCTTTGAATTTCTGCAAGAAATCCTTCCCATCAAATCTGCATATATTAACATTACATATATATACGGAGTAATGTAACAACTCAATCATAAAAATATTTGTTTGTGTCTAATTAAATTAATGTTTTTGCCAATCATATCCAATGTTCTAAAATGCGTGAGGTGGGGCAAGACGACAAAGCCAAACTTAAGCCTTTGAAGCCTAGGCAGGAATAAGCGAAGCCTAGGCGTGAAAAGGCGTTTTAGATTTCTGTTGATAATTAATATTTTATAGTGATATCTAAAAATATTATTCAAGATTGAACTTAAATGTGTAGAAAGTGCAAGTATAAAATGATACATTGTTGCTTCTTACTACTCATTATTAGATTTCATACATAAAATGATTATAAAATTGTAACTATTAAACTTTTATCATTTTATTTTGAAAAGAAAGAATTCATTTTAAAAAAACCTGCTGAAACCTCACCTTTTGTTTATAGTAACAGTAATAATAATTATTATATAATAACCATCTTTTAATTATTTTAGTAACAATTAAAAAATAATGATTTTATAATAATAGAAATAAAGAATACCCGAGTATAATAATTTAGGATCCTATAATAATATAGTACTTATGATTATAAATTTATACAATAACAGTAAATATAACAATGTTTATTTATAGCAATAATGATTATATAAAATAGCAACAAATGTTTGGTCATTTAACTCGCTCTTAAAAGTATTAGTTTTAGTGTAAAGGAAAAATGCTTTTGAAGTATGTATTCTTTGGCCAAACTGGAGTCCTTTCTCATTTCATGACACGGAGGTTGATATGTTTGGATGTTTTTACTTGGACTGTAATTTGTTGGTCTGGTCTGGTATGAACTGGTCTGATCTGGTCTAGTTTCTTTTTATTTTTATAACTATCCAAGCCTGATTTGGTATGAACTCGTCTGGTCCGGGAGGAATCACAATCCAAGTAAAAACATCCTTTATGTTACTTTGCATAAGTGCATCCCACACCGGAAGGAGTGGAAGAATTCCTCTTTTCAGAACTTTATATAAACACAGCCCCTTCGTACTGAAATGCTAAGGCGAACATCAGCTACTTCGTTGCTCTATGACCTTTCTTGATGTTCGAATATAATAGTTAAAAATTAAAATTTTAATAGTCCAGCCCGCATTTGGTCACGCCTAGTGGGTAAGCGGGGCGTTCTAGTCACATTTAATATATTTTTCAAACTTCTTTTAGAACACTGATCATATCCCTTAGATGATACTAGTATATATTTTTCAAACTTGCACATTTAATATATTTATTTTTTCTAATTATATTTTTTGCTAATTAGATAAAAATATAGACACACACCTCAATATAGACACACAACTCCCTCATGAACTGTCGCCTTCTTCTTGAGAAGGGAGAAGGTAGATCGGTGATCCACCTCTCTCCTGAACTGTTGTCTTGGAGCGATCGAGGTGCTAGGGTTTGGAAGATTTATCGGTTATTTAATTTTTTATGGTCTTATTTTCTCGTTTTGTGTTATGTTGCTCTGTTTTTTGTTGATGTCTTTAGTTTTAGGTCTACAATTATGATCGGCAATTTGCTAGATATTATGTCGTTAGAATGATCTATATGTCCAGTGATTGTTGTGTCACATCCGTTTGGTGGTTAGCAATTCGCATTGCTCTTTTAGAGCTGATCGTCTTTGAGTCTAGTCGTAGGGTTGATAGTGCTAGTTGGTTAGGGATAGTTGTTGTAAGTGTTGGTCTTTTTGAGTTTGTTGTAACGATCCGCTTCCTAATGATATTAATATAAGTGGTTTGTTTTTATGATAAAAAAATCTTAAGATAATCCGGATTCATATTTTGATGCTAAATCATTGTAGCAAATAATCTCATTAAATAATCTGTCACTCAATTATAATCTTCTAGAAAAACTGTCATGTCACTAATTTAATCACTTAATAATCCCAGCAATGAGGATGCCTTAATATGTCATCATTACTAAACCACCGTTGGGAAGTTGCGCCTGTTAAAATAAGATGTGAGAGTCTCAATTATGATGATTTGGTAATGTGTGTAGAAGGTCGAGTGATATACATGTTAGACAAATTGAGACATGAGGAGAAGAGCTAGGAATGAGAAGGAGACGATGACTCAAATAGAAGCGTACTCGAAGAGTCAGGGATAATGTAATTCTTGAATTGGATGAAAATATGACTTCAGTGAGAATGATGAAGTGGAAAGAAAGTGTATTATGAAGGATTGATCTCTTTGGATATTTTTTTATTTCGATTTCCCAATATGATTCATATCAACTAACCATAAGCTCGTTTGAGGGAAAGGCTTGGATGTTGTTGATCCCAAAAGGTGGTTCAAAGAATCCTCAAACTCATATTCGATTGTTCATATTTATCACGTATAGCTGTGTAGTCATGTAGACATATTTATTTAACATTTTTATAGGTAAGCGTTTGTTGAATTCAAAATGGGCAAACACGGCACGCAAATAGTAATTTGTCGAGGAGACAAAATAGCAAACACCTTGCGTGTGCTTATGAAATTTTTTCACAAAAAGATTAGCACGAAACTATATCTTAGTTGTCGTGATATCATTTTTATACGAACCTATTTGTCAAGGCCAACTGCCTCGAACCATATCACAATTTTGTAAGCAAACTGAAATACTTCTATTTTTAAAACTATTTAGCTCAAAATGAAGTATTAATACAACGAAAATTTTGTCCGACACATTTTAAATGGGGCACTTTTTACATTTTTATTTTTCGCAAAGAAAGATCCACTCTATTTATCAATATTCTAACATAATTACAACATATGCATATTAATTTTTACACTATTTATATGTCATGCTTTTAATACATTTAACTTATTAGAATGTTTGGGCATGAATTTTGATTATTTAACAAATTATTGTTAGATTCGTTTCATTTTAACTTTTCAAAATATCAAATTTGTAGATGTTTTACTAATAGCAAGTTAATATATTGATGGTAAAAAATGTGCATTGACAAAAGGTTTGTAATGCATCTAGACCTAGTGATCCAAGGACCAAGAGGAGATAAGAAGAGCAAAGGTATTATTGTTATCAACAACTTTTTTAAACATGTTTAACTTAAGGAAACCCTAAGTTTTGATGAAAACTAGTATATTCCTATTATTTAAATATATGTTGATGTATTAAAGAAATAAACACCTCTAAAATTGCAAATTTTAGATAGCATTGCTTCTAAAAATCCTAATTCTTACACTGTTGACAATAGATGACTCCTGTCTTCTCCATTTAATCCTTGCACTCCATTTTGAGCCCGTTTGGTAACATTAAAATTGGTTGAATTGGCTGATTCTGCAGAAATTTATGATGTTCTGGCTGAAGTGACTGTATTGGCTGATTTTGCTGATTTATGAAAAAATTATGTTTAAAATATTTGTTATTAATAAATTAAACAAAAAATTATATGAAAAAATAGCAAAAATGATCCTCTACAGTAACTTCAGCCAATACAGCCATAAACGTAACTCTAACCTTACTTTTTCAGCTTATTACAAAATTCAACGCGCGAAATTAAAAGTTAAGTGTTTGGTGAAAAAACTGGCTGATAAGCCTGATAAGCCGAAAAAAGAGGTCACCAAACGGGCTCTTTATTTCTTTGTATCCCTTCATTTTTCCTACATCCATTTCTACATAATCCCTGTTTTTTCTTTCTTTTCTCCATAATTGGAAAGTACTCTCTCCGTCCCAATTTGATTTGTAAAATTTCCTATTTTGGTTGTCCCAAAATGATTTTCCACTTTCTATTTAGGTATGTAAATATGAATAAAGTGACAAATTTACCTTACTTTTACTTTTTCCTCATTAACTTAAGGACATCTACTTTTAGAAATATGAATAAAAATGTAAAACATAAACATCATTTATTATCATTCCTTAATCCTTGTGTCAGTCAAAGTTTGCAATTCAATTCGCGACGGAGGAAGTAATAAAATGTAGGTAGAATATATAGAGATACCCCACAACCAAATATACAGATCACACCTACACATTGTCAGTTCTGATTTAATCACCTTCAATTTATTACCGTACACCCAATAATTCTCACTTTTAGATCCACAGACTTTTACATACCGACAGATGTATTTCTCCCTGCTTTTATTGCACAAATTTGAAGCTTTATTATCAATATGGTAAAAGCACATACAGCTTCCGAAAAAAGTCATTTATATTCCCTGTTTTACACTTTTGAGTTATTATTACTTTATTAATCGTCACTCCATTTCAAAGTTTTACTTTATTTTATTGAATTTATAAAAAGTACTAAATCCATACCACTACCATTTGAACATAAAGAAGTGGCGAAATATTATCAAACAATTTAGTTATACAAATCAAAAAAGAAAAATAGCACATTCTATTAGATTAATACACAGTTTACTTTTTGGAAATTAAGGAAAACCGAAAGAAAAGGAATACGGTACAAATGTACTAAACAAACTCTTAATTAATCACTCCAAATTATTCTGGTGCTAATTACATAGTACCACCACGTATAATAATAAAACAAAAATTGTATGATTGAGATTTGTGCAGTGGAGAGAGAAATAACATGAACCACAGAGTAATCAATTAAAAGGGAAAGTGACAAAATTTTTTGGAACGCTCGAAAAAGAAAATAGGCAAAGTTTTATGGGTCGGATCAAGGATGGAGTATTATGGACCCGAGTTCCATTTTAAAAGGTTCTGAATCTTAAATAATTGTTCATATATAATGTTATAGTGATCCAATGTGAAACAAGTATTTCAAAAAATTATTAGCAAGCACCAGACTAATTGAGATAATTAATTAAGAGTCTGTTTAGTCCATTTATACGAGTATGTCTGTATGTATATACCTGGTTAGCGTACAGGCATGGGGTTGCCATCTATAGCGGAGATAAGCGCGGTCGGGGCGGGCATTCCTGAGGCAGTTAAACTCGCGCTCTATGAAGGGGCAGAGGGATGAGTTGTAGAGAGGATAGGTTTCATCATCTTCAACCCAACTCCCCTCAAAATAATCACACTCCTCTTTCTTTGCCACTGCTCTGTGAAGCAATAAGGTGACTGCTGCTGTTATCAACAGCACATGGAAACTGCAGCCTGGAATTACAACCATCTATCTACCACCCTCAGCTCCTTAATTAGCTTAGACGCCTGGAATGTGATGAACAGCTAGCGAGATGGAGCTACTTTTTAGTTTTTGATTTCTCTTTTCGTGTGTCTATTGACTTGTGTATGTGTTGGCCTATAAATGTCTTTATATAATTTCTGTATTACATAGGTCCCAATTATGAGGCTATCATCATAAATAACTCCATAAATGATTTACGGTCACATTCTTACGAGGGTATACATGATGATACATCAATACATCCACGGTTACATTGTTTGAATATTTTTAGATGGTGTTAGGTTATATTTTAGTAATAAAATAAAAATAAAATTATATGAAAAAATAGCTACAGTAGTATTCTGCAGTAACCTCATTCATTTCATCCAAAAAAATAACTTCAACCTTATTACCTTATTTTGATTATTACATAATTTAGCGCACGAAATCAAAAGTTACATGTTTGCTTACAAAGTTGATTGATAGGTCTGATAAACATAAAACAGGATTACTGATATGATTCTTCTCGCGCTTAAATCATGTAGCAGTAGAAGGCTAGAGTACGAGTATCGTCTCCACAAGGACGGAAAGAAGGAATTAAGAATTAAAAGAATTCAGCGATAAAATAAAATAAATACAATTGTGTGAGATTTGGATTGTTGGAAAAATAAAATGCAAATAAATGATAAAAATAAATGAGTTCTTTCTAATAAATGACGATAGGGAACATGGATTGATTCCGAAGTAATCATGATTCTGGCTGATCAAGCTTAATCACATGAAAATTATTTAATTGGGCAACACTAATCAATACTAAGTTCTAACCACTCTCGCGACGTAGAGTACAACAATTTAGGTAACCAAGTTGATCTCTCATGCGACATGTATCTAAATTATTGCCAAAATGAGCGAGCGTACTAATCCCTAACTGTTACTAATCTCTTAGCGAACAATTAAGAGCCCGTTTGGTAGCACGAAAATCGGCTGTTTTGGCTGATTCTGCTGAAATTTATGAAGTTCTGGCTGAAGTGGCTGCATTGGCTGATTTTGCTGATACAAGAAAAAAATATTTTTTAAATATATTTTATTAATAAAATTAAGAACAAATTATATGTAAAAATAGCTAAAATGATCATCTACAGTAACTTCAGCCAATACAGCCAGAAAAGTAACTCCAACCTTACTCTTTCGGCTTATTACACAATTCAGCGCGTGAAAGCAAAATTTACGTGTTTGGTAAAAAAGTTGAATGATAAGCCCGATAAGCCGAAAATGAGGGTTGCCAAACGGCCTCTAAGTGTGTGTGAAGATGTTCTAGAATAAATTAGATCTCTCTTAATTTGTTCTATGTATAATTATAATCCTAGCGGCCGTTCCAAATTACCAAAGATATCAATTAAATTATTCAAACACAAATTAAACAAAGATCATGCAATTAAATCATCAAGAAACTAGCCATACATTATGATTAACCCCCTCATCAATCCCAAATTCCTAATTAAAACTACTCACAATTCATAATTGAGCAATCAACAGAATTGAGGTGAAAAAAATTAATTTTTATTAATTAAAAAGATGGAACTTACAAATAATCTCAGGGTCTTGAATAACAAAGCGGAAAAGTACTCAAAATTTCGTCATAGGCCTCTCTCTAAATTTTGTTCCCGAAAACATTGGTTTACAGGGTGTTTAAATAGAAATCAGACCAATTCGGGCCGAAATAGTACACTTGGGGGCGAAAAAATGTCAGGCACGGCGTGCCTCCGTTGGCAGCACGGCGTGCCCGGCCGGTAGTAGCTCTAGCGTGATTTTTCTCTTTCACGCACGGCGTGCTTAATTCGGGCGCACGACATGCGCTTTCCCGTCTGAATTTGACAATGCTTCCTTCACCAAGGTTGTATCTAATGAAGTCTTCTATCCATAACAACTTGCTAGACTTAGTTTGGATCATCCAATCAAAAGATATGAATAAAATGGTGGAAGGTCTTATCCTGAAATCTCAACAGCGACTATCTGACTTCCTCGTGTGTTTTCACCTTGCTCCTCTTAGATTCTCGTCATGGTGTCTTGTTACGATTTGTATAACTTGAAGTTAGCTTTTATATGAAACTTGAATCGTGCACTTTTGATGTTTTTACAGAAAGATATGCTTGAACGATTGACAGAACATCACCATGATCGCTGTTTTCAAGCTCTATTCGTCTTTTTTTTTATCTCGTACTGGATCCTCGAGCTCTCTTCACTTCAAAATCTCTCTATTAATGAATTGTGGACCTTCAATGCTTCTTAATAACTCTCAAATGTGTCTCGACTCTCTCAATTACTTCTCAAACGCCGGTTTCAGACTTAATTCCCTGACTTTGACTCCAAAAATATCAAACACGAACCAACACCCGGTAAAAATGAGACTCGTGACACATTTAAGCTAGGAAAACTGAACACAAACCAATATCAACATGTATCGAATGCGTGTTGAAATATGGACTTATCAGTTACCAAATGGGCCCTTATAGTTTCACTTTTACTACTCCATATATTTTTAATTAGAATAGGTTTCACATTGGATCGGCTCAGAATAGATCAAGCTTCCACAATTTTAAAATACACACAAAATATTTACCTGATTAGACTAGGCATGTACATACCAAATTATAAGAGAGCAAAGCGTATTAGAAAAATCCAGTTCAATTAAAAATATCCTTATAGGTATCTATTGAACGAAGCTACTAGCCACTCCCTCTATCCTTTAAAAATTTGCTAAGTTTGACCGACACGAAAAATAATAAAGTAAAAATTGTAAGATTGAGCTTGATTCAAAGGGGAGATAGATAAATGAACCACAAATTAATTGATTAAAAGAGAAAGTGACATAATTTTTGGGATATTCTAAAAATGAAAGATGAGAAAACTTTAAAGAATGGAGACAAAGACGGAGCCACATACAATGATGCGGTATCAATTGACACCACTAAAATATTTTTTGTTATTATATATACATGTATATTTCTACAAAACTTATTTGGCACCACCTATATAAATGGAATGATCGTCTATTGAAACCACCTATATAAAGGTATATTTTCTAAAAATTAAATCAGCACCATATCTATAAACGGGAGGGTTAAAGTATAAATATATGTGCAATAATTACATGTTTATGACTAAAATAAATATTTATTCGTAAAAAGTGATGTCTTACGTATAGTGATTACATTAGAAACTTTAGTTATAGTAATTTGTGTTCATTTTTTATACTTAAGTGACCATAACATTATATAATAAAATTTAACGATATCTTTATAAATAAATTTATTTTAGAAATAATTTAGAAAGAGTCTCTACATATATTTTTTAACTAAAGTACATTTACATGTAATTCCCTGTTTTAAAATCTGAAAATTGATTCAGATAATAGTACAAACCAAAAATGTACTACCTCCATCCCAAAATGATGGTCTTCTATTTTCTTTTTGGGATGTCCCAAAATGATGTTCTTGTTTCCCTTTTTGAAAAGAAAGATGTGGTCCATATAATTTCACTTTATTATACTCAAATATCAATCACAACTTTTACCTTTTCAACCACTTTATTAAAACTTGTGCTCAAAAGAAATGATACATCAAATTGGAACGAAGGGAGTAGTATTTAGTTTAGAAAGTTGACCCACACGAAACAGTCCCACTAACGAGAATTATAGGCAAGCATGACAAAATTAAGCTACTCCGTATTAATTACTACGTAATTATGTGTGTATGTGACATGAATGTGTCCAGCTCGTTGTCTGGGGTTCAGTTTGAAACACAACATCGGCTGGCAAACCAAAGCTAGGCAAGGCTCCCCAGGTTAAAGTGTCAGCCCAAATAACCAACTCATATTATAGCATTCGTAGATGTACATTGGGCCATTGTCTGAATCTAATAGCTGCAAATGAATGGGTCAAGGCCCATATTGTACTCCCTCTAAGGCTCTAATTTACACGGAGTATCTTTTTATTTTTTATGGGAAAATAATTAAATATTTCACTTTAAAGTGGTGTAAGATAAATGTCTCAAACTTGCACATGTAATGTATACACCAAACATTGTATAAAAAGTTATGTTAGAATCATGATCATGTATTTTTTAAAGTTTAATTTTATGGTGTTAAGCAGGGGCGGACCCACCCTAGGGCTAGGGGGTGCCCGTGCCCCTGCGGTGATTTTTATTTATATATATATATATATATATATATATATATATATATATATATATATATATATATATATTGGAAAATTCTCAGGTCCAGCACCTCCCTGTCCGAACACCGTACGAACACCGCCGTTTGGGGCGGTTTCAGGTGGAATTTTTTGATGAAATTTTTTGAGCATGTTTCTCATCAAGTCTAGTTTATCCATACCAAAGTTCAGGTCAAAATTCGACCGGGGAGGCAGTCAAATAATTCGTTGAAGTTAACTGCGTTTTTCTATGTATAATTTGGCGCAGTTAACTTCAACGAATCCTGTTTATGTAGTAGTGGTAGTCGTAGTAGTGGTAGTAGTAGTAGTGGTAGTAGTAGTAGTATTTACATGTTTTGAAGTGAATAGCTAATCTCCATGGTTAGCTATTAGAATTTTGCTGATTTTGGAGGTCCTCACTTTGGGTACCGTAGGCCTTAGAGGATAGTTTTGGTGGCATCCTTTATGTAAGGGTGACATATGGTTTTTGTAATATGCGTACATATGATGTACATATGATACTTTACTTAAAAATAGTACAATTTCTTTGTTATTGTGCCCCTGCGAGTCACGAGTCCTGATTCCGCCACTGGTGTTAAGTACATAATTTAAAATACACAAAACATTTATGAGGATGCAAATATGTAATTAAAATTAAATTGTACTGAATGTAATATTATTTTTTCAAAAATGAAATTTTAGAATGTTATCTTCATTCTAACAAAGTTTAGATTATTTTAAATTGTGTAATTATTCTGATAAATGATAAAATATACATGACAAAATAGAATTGCATGGAAAAGAACTGCACGCGTGGGGTAATCATAGGGAGAGAGGTTTTCTTACACAAATGACGGTTGCAAATGTCGTATGAGGTGGCTAAAAGTGTAATATGGAAGGGAATATTAAATCGATTCATGGCTTAGTTTATCTCACATTCTCGGGGGTGATCCAATTTTCTTTCGAAAATACCCCCAACTATTTATCTCTTTTCATTTAATTTCTTCATATCTTCAACTGTTATCACATTTGATTTTCTGTGACTTTATAAAACTTTTAATGAAGTTTCTAAATATGTAAATTTTATTTACAAAAAATAATCTTATTATTGACAAGAATCAGTTAATTTCACTAGTAGTCAAATATCATAAATTGTGTGACAACCTTTTAAGTGGGACGGATGGAGTATTTAATTATATTTAAATGTTTATTCTTGTTATTTGCTTAATTTTTTTCCTTAACATTTAATTTTTTTTAAGGTATTTATGTTATAAGACTTATCTATTATTTAAGTTTTTGATAAGTAAATTTCAAAATTTAATGGCAAAATTGACCATTTTTTCTTTAATTTGAAAACAATTTTTACTAATAACTTGAACATTTTTTTATATTTATTTTTTTGAAATGATAATAAATACTCATATTTATATAACTATTTGAACAAAGTTTTTTTCATTTCTCTATTGATCTACAACTTTTTACAATTAAACATACTTTACTTAAATATCATAATAGTTCATTTCTCTAATATACAACTTTTTTTATACTTTACTTTATTATTAAGATATTTCATTTTTTCTTTAATTTTAATTACATTAGATGTAAGTTGTAATAGATTTGTTGTGTTATAAGAGAAAATATTTAAAAGACATTGAAGTAGTTCACATATCTGCAATATAAGATATCTTTCAACCAAATAAATAATAAAATATTCTCTTAGAATAAATTTAATACATTTTCATCAATCTAATATTTCCACCAAGGCACCAATAAACTACCCGCATACTAAGGGCCTGTTTACTAACAGAGATATTTTCCAGTTTCTAGAAACTGGAAAACTAGAAAACAGAAAACGGGAAACGTGTTTACCAAAGAAAATAGCTGAAAATCTGGAGAAAGAAAAACAGAAAAATGCGTTTACCAAACCGTTTTCCAAAACGAAAAAATGAGACATGTTTCTCTTTTCCTTAATGATTTCGAGAAGTGACTTTTACTAGTTCTCCAAATTTGGAAAACACAGATGCTACAGGCCGTTGCGATGAATTTGCATACTTACACCTAGCTAGTGGTGGGACCGGTCCCGCTCCGATGTCGATTCCATTCTAGTACCTCCATCCTCGTACCTTACCCCTTACCCCTACCCTACCCCTACCCACCCAACCCCCGCATACCCCTTTTCCCTACAATGACCCTACCCCCACCCTACCATATTGCCCCTACCTCGGTCCCACCCCGACCCACCCTACCATACCCCCACCTCACTTACCCCCTACCTTATCCCTTCCCACATGCCCCCTCCCTTGGCCCCACCCTACCGCCATCCTACCCCCACCACCATCCTACCCTACCCCTTCCCCTACCTCGGCCCCACCCTACCGCCATCCTATCCCAACTCCTTACCCTACCCCTACCTTACCCCAATCCCAACCCTACTCACTACCCCCACCCTTACCCCTAACCACCACCCTAACCCACCCACTACCCCACCCCAACCCCGTACCTCTAGACCTTACCACCCCACCCTGACCATACCCCTTACCCCACCCCCCTCATACCTTCCTTCCTTACCCCGACCCCTACGAGTAGGTATGGGTGGGTATGAAGGGTTTTAAGGGAGTATGGGTAGAGTGTAAGATCGTGGTAAGGGTGGAGGTAGGGGTCAAGGGTGTGGAATTGGGTGTAGGGTGTGGGGTGGGGGTACGAGGTATAGGGGCAGGGTAGGGGTTAGGAGTATGAGTACACGTACGAGGTGATCGACCCCACATATTATATTATATATTTGTGTTCATGAATATTTGTGTGTCTATATATGTATATGGTTATTTTGGACATTTTAAAGTAAACATGATCTTATAACATTGCTCATTTTATGCGTCGCTTATGAACGCGAGTCTTAATAAGCGCAATTTAGTAACACGTGAAGTAAACATGTCAGTCTTCTGGATGATCACGGAACTGAGTGAAAAAATGGATGAACGTGTTTTCCGAAAATGGAAAACTAGAAAATAGAAACAGAAAACTGGAGATACAAAAACTGAAAAATAAAAATAGAAAATATCTCTGTGAATAAACAGACCCTAAACTCCGCTCCCACCCACTTAGACGGGTGTATTTTGGAAAGTGCGAAACTAGCAAAACAGGAAAAAGGAAAACAAAACCAAAATGAAACCGTAATAGTGGCCTAAAAAACTTGTGCGAATTTCTGGTTGAATTGTCTTGAATCCGCCGGCTGGACTATTCCGCAGCCTGGACTGGAGTATTCTGTCTATCCTTATATACTCTGAAATAAAGACTCGGAAATTTTATATATTAATCATAGAGATAACTGTCAAAATATCCCACCCATCTTCTTCCCTCCCAACTTCGTCGTTCCATCCATTTGTGGAAAACATTTCATTAATTCTTCTTTAAAGGTTGTGTCTTTCTTCCATCCAAACTTCGCCTGCAGATTTTCTTTGACTCTAAGTTGCAGTTGGATGAGAAATCTTCTGCAGAAGAAAAATGAGATTTGATGGGTATTTTGTTGCCCTTATCCTGGGCGCATTTCTTCCATGGAATTCTTTCATTTGCCTCACTTCTTCCGCTCCGCTTTTGCCTGCAGATGAAGGTAATTTCATTACATATGAATTTTCAGTGCTGGGTTAATTGAATCTCTGATTTCCTGTGAATTGAAAAAATGCAATATTTCCTTCCCAGTTCTTAAGTCTTAATGCCCTTATTTCTTAAGATAATTTATCAACGCTAAATATCATTTATATACAGATTTTCTAGGAAAATTTTAATCCCCCTTCGTGAATAAGACGAAGAACTGTGTTACTTTTGCCATAATTAAGCCGCAATTATTACTCTTTAATAGCCGCTCTGGCGCTCTCACTAGTCACTATGTTCTTATTTACTGAAAGGATATCATGGTAATTTTATCTAAATTTATTTGTGTTACATGAAATATATTTATATTTGGTATAATAATGTCAGTAAGAAAATACGAAGAAAGTGAAGTAAAACTGTTTATAGTTTTGTCAAATGTGGGATGCTTATGGTTACAAGTTGTACACTTAGAGATTTTGAAGGTTTAGTGTATGATTGTCACATTTATGTAGAAAAAATTGAGTTTATTTCAATAATTCTTAGTTTTTAATAATTGGAAAGATCTAAAAGGGGTGTCACAGCTTTTTTATAAAGTCTCACTATTTGGTGTAGTCATGTTTGACATGCATTAAAACAAATTGTTCTACCAAATTAATGTTATAAAAGTAACAAGCTTTTTTGAGATGTTACTCTGAATAGCTTTTCAAAATGCTCTAAATTTTGAAGTCGCTCTCAACTTTCTTATATCAAATATATAATTAAAAGAATTTAAAGACTTTTGAAATGGTATAAAATTTATTAGATGTTTTTGTTAGCAAAATTGCAATTAGATTATTCGATTTTCATTAATATATGAGAATTTTCCTAAAATATTATTACTAAAAATGGTGGACAAAAATGTGACTACAAATTATTACTACCTCCGTCCCAAAAAGATCGATACATTTTGACTTTTCTTGGTCAATGGTGGTAAAGTTTAGACAATGATTTTATGTACTCCTTCCGTTTCTGAAACAAGTTCCACCTTTCCTTTTCAGGCAGATTCAAAATTAAGTTCCACTTTCAAACATTTCCTTATTATCTACATCAAAACAGTGTCAAACAGTGTCAAATAGTGCTAAACAGTGTTCAAACAGTGCACTTCACAGTAAAGTCAATTTTATTTTCTTAATATGTGTGAAGTCAAATGAGGAACTTGTTTAGAAATCGGAGGGAGTATTATATTTGTTTGTAATTTATAAATTTTATAGTTTTATGAAAGATTTTTTAATAAAGAATATGTTCATATAATTTTAATATTTTAAATAATTTTGTATTAAAAGATATCATTGGTCAAAATTAACCGTCATTAACTAAGAAAAGTCAAAATGTATCGATCTTTTTAGGACGGGGGAGTATTAGTAAGTTTTATAGTCACTAGATTGCAACATTTGATACAATATAATCATAGTAACTAAAGTTATCAGTCACATTTTTGTTCACGGCATCCGTTTTGGTTATATGTTTGAAATACTTTCGTAATATATTGCACTGTCAAATTAATTTATATACGAGTATATTTGATCTTTGTTTTTTAGTGAAAATTTAGTTCAAAAAGTCAAATAAGCTTTTAAGGCTCCAATTGAACTAGTCGCATATTGTAGATTTAGGCCTTTCGAATGCAAAAAAGCAAGACATAAGAGCATCCACATTGATGCTACTTGAATAAACAGATTTTTATGACATTTAGATTGACACAGATTTTTTCCAAATAATCTCATATCTTCAAATTTATATCATTCATCATATCAAAATAATCAGATCTTTTGTGAGCCTTGCACCCAATAATTAATACTACCTTTACAATAATCTTGAGATAATCTGGATTCATATTTCAATCCCGGATTATTTTGTCAAATAATCTCACCAAATAATCTTAACCACTCAATCATGATCCCCAACATAATCTGTCACATCAACAACTTAATCCTCAAATAATCCTATGAATGAGGATGCCCTAATAAAAATTGAAGTCATATTAAATGAGGATTTAGAAGTGAGTAGGTATATATTGATAGAACGGGTCAACGGATTTTCAAATGCGCAAAACTTTTAACGTATGGTGGAAATGAGGTGGCGTACAAGTTGTTTATAACTTTAATATATGGATAAATACTAGAGTATTATACTCGTATTTACCAAAAATATAATATTCCAACTCTAGCAAAAGGAAAAGTAGTGAAAAATAAAATCACTGAAAATTGCAACCTTCAGCGGAAGTTGTTCGTGGAGTGATGGAAAATGGAAAATAGAAATATAAAATTACAAAATAGAAACACAAAATTTGGAAAACAGACTACTTTAATTAATAGAGTAGACATCTCACTTTCACAGTGTCACATGCTCAACATTTTACTCTTATTTGCAAAATAAAAAATGATGAATATTTAGTACAATTATTTATTTTTTACTCTTATGGGCAAAATAAATGTAATAGACAAAAATACAAGTTTTTAGTAGTCAGTACTATAATAGTAACCTAATGACTTTATATATTCAATTTTAAAAAATTGAATATATTCATAATAACTTTTAAAAAATCACTCCAAATTATAACTTTTAAAAAATCACTCCAAATTATAGCGTACATCCGTATATACGTTCACAGGCATAATTGTTGCAGTCTTGTTTGAAAATTACTCGTATTTCATCGGTTACTTTTTTTTATTCTGTTGAATTAACAAAACTATATTTGCATTTTTGTCTTATATATGCTCATCTGATATCTGTAAGCACCAATTGGCAAATGTATAATTACGGAATTACCCACCTTTTTATATTCTTCCATTTGTTTTGTAAACAAAAAAAAACCAACCATTCCAGCTCACTGGGTGGAAGGTTACCGTGTCCTAGTGGAGGTCTCGGGTTCGAATCCCGCTAGGCACATTTAGGGGAGAAGAAGGAGGTCTTGCTCCCAATAATTCTTCCTACCTTCACGGAGTTGCTCAGCGGCTGAGAAGGGAGAGGATGGTAATGAAGGTAGCGGGTTCGTGTGGTGGGAGGAGCAGCCTGAAAGGTGATGTAAGTCCTGTTGGATTCGTCCTTTGGAGCCAGTACTGACGAGGCTGACTGTGATCAGATCCGGACTTAACTGTCTAGGGGCTTTGGAGGGTAGTTCCTAGACTCCAGGATTATGGGAGCGTAAGCCCCGACACCTTGATTATCAAAAAAAAAATGTAAACAAAAAAAGACACCCCATCCTCGAGGACTCCCCAACACCGACTGGACGATACGTGGGAGGATGTAAATTAGACTATAATCATAATCTGACAGATAGAGAGTGAATCTCTGTCCCCGGTACTTGCAGAGGTCCTATGCATTTTTAGCATAGTAACCTCTCATCTCAGTTGTCGGGATTCGAACCCGGAACCTCACCCTTGTGACACTCTCTCGCTATCAGTTGAGCTAGCTCATCAGTTTTGTTTCGTAAACAAATGTTGCCTTGAAGTATAATAATAAATGTAAAACCTGGGAAGGTGGATGTAGTCCAATGGATGACCATTCACCCCCAAGTCTCTCCTTTGTGGGAGGTCTTGGGTTCAATTCCCATCAAGGGGAGATGAGAGAGGTCTTGCTCCCAATGATTCTTCCTATCTTCACGGAGTTGTCCAGCGGCTGAGAAGGGAGAGGATGATAATGAAGATAGCGGGTTCGTGGGGTGGGAGGAGCAGCCTGAAAGGTGATGTAAGTCCTGCTGGATTCGTCCTTTGGAGTCAGTACTGACGAGGCTGACTGTGATCAGATCCGAATTTAACTGTCTAAGGGCTTTGGAAGGTAGTTCATATACTTCAAGATTATGGGTGCGTAAACCCGGACACCTGGATTATCAAAAAAAAATGTAAAACCTTATGGAATCCATCGACATCTATCATTGATCTGGCACTGGCCATGGATGGGTCGACTGAACAGAACGTGGTATACATGCCGTTAATACATACTTTTCATTTATACTTTCTTTAACATTTCACATTTATCAAAGAATATCTTTGGCCACAAATATATCTTGTTTTCTATTAATAAAAAAAATTAAAATCAGATTTATGAAAATTTGTAACGAGATGAATTGAACAATATTTTTTAAGAAAATAATTTTCATAAAATAATAGTGTAAAATAAAATGTAGTCAAAGTAGAACACATTATAGTGTGACCTGAAATGTTGGGACTAAAGAAACGGACGATAGTATACATAGTACTGTGTGTTGACTTCGATCATTGTATACTCCCACCGTCCCTGTTTTATCTCCCATTTCGGCTGGGCACACTTATTAAGATAGTGTGTTTTGTGTGGTGGAAAGTTGTGCAGAAGAGAGAGAAATGTGTAAGAATGTGTAAGAATGATTGTGAACCACAAATTATTTGCGAAAAAGGGAAGGAAGAGATAATTTTGGGACGGATGAAAAATGAAAGTTTAAAGGAAAGTTTGAATATAATTCAGGGACGGAGGGAGTACATAGTTGGTGGTGTAGCTGGGGCAGCCACAAAAGTAAGTCGGGTTAAAATTTCTAAGTGGGATAAGAGTTTATTATCTAAACTGATTAATAATAAAAGTTATGTGTTTGAAAAGAAACTTGATATCAAAAAATAAATTTAAAGTGTCGGTAACAAAGTACGTAGTATTAGTTCAAGTGAAAGTAAGTTCAAACCAATTTGTTCGCTTTTAGCTATAAAAACTTAAATTAGATAGAAGCACTTATTTGAATGTTGAAACACTAATTTTGGCTGTTTTCCGCTCATCACAATTGACCATTTACATCTCAATTATATAGTGTCAAATCCAATTCGGCACATATTTGAGACTACGAGCGGTTTGGGCGGGCGGACCCAGAAAAGTCATTTTGGGGGGGGCGAAAATATTTTTTTGAGGGGGTTCAAAATATTTTTTGGAAGAGCAAAAATTATTTTTCGTATATATATACACTAAAAAAAAATTTGTTGGGGGGCGGTAGCCCCCCTGGGTCTCTACTACGGTCCGCCCCTTCGGTTTGGTATACTCAATGGCTCATTTCATTTTGATGAAATTTTTGAAGTTTTGAAATTTGAATGAAATAGCTAGATTGATTGATTTTGTCGATTTATAAAAAAAATATTTAAAATATATTTTATTAATAAAGTAAAGAAAAATATATATGAAAAACAGCTGAAATGATCCACTTCAGTAACTTCAATCAATACAGCCATAAAAGTAACTACAATCTTAGTTTTTTATTATTATACATTTTAGCGCGCGAAATCAACATTTACATTTACATGTCAGGTGAAGAAATTGATCGTTACATCTTACAATGCAAGTGTTGAACTTGTTGTTATGATGTACATAAATTATTAGTCACGTTCTTTTTTAACTACACTCCGTATTTGAGATTTTTAAAAGGGGAACTTGAGTTTAGATCGCATTTTATTATCCAAATTAGGCTTTGCACCTTGTTTACAAAAAAACTTTGTGTTTGCGTATTAACCCTGTATGAAAAGATAAAAATACTTCTCCATTAATAATTTTGTTGATCTTCAACATATTCCTAATTATTGGCCTTCAACGTACGAGTTGGAGTGCAAAAACAAAGTTTTTATAAAGTGGGTGCAAAGTTCAATTGGAACAATAAAATGGACCACATACTCAAATTTTCTAATTTTCAAATGTACTTCGTATAAATCTTCCAATAATACATTCTATGTCCCACAACTGAGTTTTTTAATCAAACGTAGTGGACTTTGATTGACAATTATTCAAAAAAACTTATTACGAGTATTACTTTATTATAGCATCAAAATAGTTTTGAATACCTCTTTTAACACTCGGTATATTGTTGAAATGCTATACTCCCTCAAAGGAAAGATATAAGGGTAATGTAAAAGGTATAGTAAGATGTGTTTAAATAAAAAAGTAAGAAAGAAAATGAAGGTAAATAGGTATATTTATTAAAAAAAAACTTTCAAAAAATGAAAAGAGAAATAACTACTAATTAAAGAACAACTCAAAATGGAAGGAGGGAGTTTTATCCCTATGTTGATGAGTAGTTAATCATACCGAACAGTTTGACTATTCTTTTTGTAAAGTACATATGAAATGAAAGAGGTGATATAATTGACTTCATCATTTGAAAATTGAGAACGTGCAGTCTCTAAAGGGATAAACAATAGAAGTACGGAGTATTTTAATACTAATAGAAGATAGGCGGAAGAAAAATTGTACACGTTCTAATACACATCACTACACATTTGTGTCTGTGATAGTTTTTCTATTAATGAAAAAATTGAACTATATTTGATTAAACATCATAGATAATATAAAAAAATATACCTGACTCCTAACCGACTAAACCAAACCAAAATAGATAATTTCAATTCGATTAAGAACATTCTTAATTGATAACTATTTCCAATGTTGCTTAGATAATTGTTAAGTTTGCTCAATAAATATCCCATTAACTAGATGTTGGAATAGTTAAGCTGACTCAAAACTCAATAGTTATCCTATCAACATTGGAACAAATTCTCCCAACAACATTACTGGGAATAGATACTAAGTTTACTCAATATTATCCCATCTATTCACAGTATTATTGCATTTACCTTTGTATACATATTGATTTTTTTATACATATTGAATTTCAAACAACATTGGAATAAATTCACAACGGCACTTGGACTAATTGAGTAATTAATTAGGTTTCGGATGTTTGATTTTGTTGTTTAAATAATACTACATCCGTCCCACTCATTGGCGGAGCCACCTTTGTTCAAAGGTGTTCACTTGAACACCTAGAACTTTGAAAAAAATGTTAGTATACATATATAATTTTAATTAAATTATTTATTGTCTTTACAAATTTTAATTAAAAAAAAATTGAACACCCAAAGTTCAAAATGTAGATCCGCCACTCGTCCCACTAAGATTGGGACAAGAGAAGGAGACGATTATTAAGAAAAGTTAGTTTGTATGATTGATATTAAATTGATAAAGTAACAATAAAGTAAGAATAATTTTGAGCCACACAAACTTTACCAAATTTGATATGGGACAATCTTAGTGGGATTTCCCAAGAAAATAAAATGGGACAATCTTAGCGGGACGGAAGGAGTAGTACATCTGCGAAAAATACAGATTTGAAACTCTTTTGTGAAGGATATATTATTTCATCTTTTACACTATGCTAAGTGCTTTTCAGTGTATAATATATATCACACTTTTTGTAAAGTTGAAAACCAATAAATAAACTGGATGAAATACAAAGTTCGATGTTATTCATAAAAATAAAAAATTGTGAGTTGTAGTTAGAGATGGCAATGGGCAGATCAGGATGATTATGCATATAAAGATAACCACTCTAGTGGGTAAATTCCCCGCCCCCTAACCACCTGTTATCCAATTGGTAATTTTGATTAAACCATAACCTCGCCAACAGGTATAGCTGTGAATAAGACTTTACTCAAATGAGTTATTGATATTTTATTTCAAAAATAATTGTTTTAAGAGGCCGAAAATGGCATCGCCTAGACAATTATAAACGTGAGACGTCACAAAAGTTTCGTGCACCTACAAGAATAGGAAGAAGGAGATCAAATGAGACTCTTCATGTCTATTATCAGAGCAAAAGAGGTGAACTCTCGAAGGAAATCCTTGCTTTCATGCATTGTAGTGAGAAAGTAGGAAATCTCGTCCTCTTTAGGTGTGAGATAAATACTAGTCATAGGAAATAATTAAATCAAAATATAACTAAAATTAATAGGGTAGGTAATGGGTGGGTAACAGGTCGAGTATGTATAAAACTGTAACCGCTTCTACTCATAAAATCAAAACGGTTGTTCCTGCCTGTATTCATTACCCGATCAATGCAGTTTTGCATGTTTCTATTGGAGCGATTCAGTGCGAGTATCCATCAAATTGGTCACAATTGTACTCCCTAGTTGTAGTTCTACTAACATACATACCCTGCTTTTGACTTTGGTTTGTGTGCTGCTTCCACAGTTCAAGTGCTTAATACAATATCTGCCAAGCTAGGGAATGCGTTTTCTACGGTTACTCAGACATCTTGCATTAATGGCTCTATTGTAAACGACAACACGACTGAAAGTATAAACGAAAAGGACAAATTTATAAAATGTGACTGCAGTTTCAGTAGAAATACAATCTGCCATGTTACAGACATGTAAGGCATTCTTCTATTACTTGTTTACCAAGACCTCTTTTGAATTGGTCTTTGATATAATAAGAGAGAATGGATTTGTTCTATCATACTTCTTACAACTATTTCATGATTTTGTTCATATGCTAACAATGCAGTGTATTGAAAAGTCTTGATCTTCAGGGAGTTCTTCCCCCAGAGTTTGTGAATCTTATCGCTCTCCGCCAAATGTGAGTGTAGTGATAACTCTTGTTATCAAAATAAACTATGTTTGCTAATTTCTTAATACGGTATTGTATTAAGAATTAAATATAGATTTCATATGAAAAGATCAACTACATAATAGAAGTAGTCTAAAAACTTATACACATGTTCTATATATTTGACCAATATGGGTTGAATTAACACCATGAATGGCGTAAAGTTTTAGGCGTTGGTGGCATGTATACACAAATACTACCTACTAATTCATTTATATAAAAATTTGGAGGTACTGTGCCTGCTTAAAGCAAATGTACTTTTTAAAACATTCATTATTTTGAGGGGGGGGGGGGGATCATGTTTTTTACAAAAACAATACAAACTCTACATTTGCCTATACTGATGTTTGATCTTTTTTCTTCTCCAGAGATCTGACTCGCAATTACATTAATGGAACAATTCCCTCTATCTTTGGCAAATTCCGCAATCTCACAATTTTGTAATATTCTTTCTCTATACTTTTCTGTATTAGCTACCTCAGGCTTTTGTGTTAATGTTCTGCATGACTGTAGGTCACTTTTGGGGAACCGCTTAAGTGGGCAGATACCCAGAGAGATAGGTGACATAACTACATTGCAGGACCTGTAAGCGAAACTTTATATATGTAGTTTTCTTCATTTCATTGTGGAAATTGATGGTACCTAATGTCTATTATAAATGTGTTGTTTGCTTAGAGTTTTGGAAGATAATGAGATTGGAGGATCTCTTGATCAAAATCTTGGAAATTTGAGCAACTTAAAGAGACTGTAAGTAAAACGGATCAAACTATTTACTGATAATGATCTGTACGACGCATACTGACTTGAAATCTGTACTTTTTGAACTATTAGTCGGATCGATTGCTCATTTAAACATAATGTGGACCGACACAATATTAAGATATGAGATTTTATCATCTAATAAAAAGACCGATACAATGTTAAGATATGAGATTTAATCATATGATAAAAAGTAATTCAAAGCCCTATGTGTAGGGGAACATATATTGTAGCCAAAGTAATTTTTATATTTGGATTCTTTAACTCACATAACTTTGCTGCAGCCTTATATCTGCAAACAATATCACTGGAGGTATACCAGAATCTTTTGCCAATCTTAAGAGCTTAACAGAATTGTAAGTGTCAAAAGTTTAAAAAATATAGGTTTGCTTTCAAGAAATGAATTTGATAGAGCAAGCTTTTGTTGTTTTGCAGTAGGATTGATGGGAATCCAATATCTGGTAATTTTCCTTATTTTATTGGCAACTGGACGAACCTGACTACTTTGTAAGTTGCTGAAGAAAACATGAAAAAACATTGAGCAAAAAAATATGGGTTGATAAGTCGTCTTGATTGAGAGAGTTGTCGAATTGATTCAGGTACATGCAAGGAACATTGCTAGGGGGGACAATACCTCAGAATATATCCTTGTTGAAAAACCTGCAAATATTGTGAGCACTACTTTGCTTCTGAGTTGTCTATATTTTTTGTTGATTGTTAAAGTTGCTCAGTAAGACTACTTTTACATGAAGATACTTATTGTTGTTTCCTTTAAAACCCCTCACACAAATCCTGATTGTGAACAAAAGGAGCCAATCTCCCTGAGGAAAATAAAACTTTAAGGTTATTGATGTTTGCAGGCAAATTTATGGTTTGAGAGGACAAAGTAGGGAATTCCCAAATTTGCAGAGCATAGTAAAACTAAAAACATTGTGAGTAGGGTACACTTACATTTTTTGTGTGGCTAGAAATCCAATCTTCTATTTGATGTTACAGTAATTCTTAATGCACTTGTGAATGCAGAGTTTTGAGGAATTGCTCGATTGTTGGTGGAATACCAGAATACATTGGAAATATGGTCCAGTTAAAAACTTTGTGAGTTTGTTTGAGTGAGAATTCATTTTTTTACTTTTTCTTGTTGACATGTAACTCCTGATTATTTAAGGCTTTTTTTATTGGGAGATTTCGCACAGTAAAGGTGACTTTAAAAAAAATACATTGACATTTAACTGGTTGTGAATAAATGGAAGATATAAATCAACATAGAAATACATAATCTAATGAATCATATAGTCACTTCTAGCTAAATAAAATAAAAATTACACCATATTTGTAATTAGAACTTCTCATCTATAGAAATGGTAAGGTAAGCTTGGCCTTATTTACCTTTCGAGTTAAACAAGAAAATAAAATAAAAACAAAGAGTATGCTTCCCTCCGAAATTCCCGAACCAAACAGGCCCTTCATGGAAGATAATACCGGGGGGGGGGGGGGGGGGGCATTTGGCCATCTCCAGCCATGTGTTTTTATTGGACTTCACTTACTTATTGAAGTGTTATCTTCTCATTGGCAGAGATCTTAGTTACAACATGCTGAATGGTACAATACCGAATATTTTGAACAAAAACCTTAAAAATGTGTAAGTGCATTACACTTCATTGCTTATTAAGATGCCAGATATTGTTATTTCCATTGTCATTGTCGTCATCAAATTCGTTGAAGTAATTCACTACTCTTCACTTTGATTGTTGTCCTTTGCAAAAAGTAATTATAAGAATATTTATGTTCTTCTTTTATGTCTGGTGGAACAATTTATAAAAATGTACTCTAATGCTTTTTTGAAATTTATATTTACACAACTTTTTCCCTGGAATTTAGGCTTCTGACGCATAACATGTTAAGTGGAGTGATCCCCATTTGGATGTTTGACACCAAGTATTCCATGTTAGTATGACAAAAAGTTTCGATCATTTTGCTTTGTCGTAATTTATCCAACAAGATCGAGATGGTTCTTATTTTCAGTTTTACATAAAAATGGTCTTGCAGTGATTTATCCTACAACAAATTAACTGAATCATCTGCAAGAGGGTGCCAGTCTTCCAATTTGTAAGCCTTGTCCCTGTTATTATGTAGATAAACTGGAGATAAGATGTTATTACTTAGACTGCAGTGTTTTTTGAAACAGGAACTTAGTCTCCAGCTATTCAGTTATGAAGAGTGACTCGTAAGTTGCGTTATTATTCATTACTCCGTACATCGCTCCTCATTTTGTTTAGCTTAGTTTGTAAATTAACATATCTGATACATTCCAATGTATGGATTGTTGTAGTGGTGATTGGTGTTCAAAAAAGGACCTCCCTTGCCAAGGAGGAACTCGGTGTACGCCTTTCAACTCTATTGTTTCTATGTAATTATCAACACAAATGTTAAGCCTCCATTTGGTAGCCAATTCTTACATACGCCATTTGTCACCCGAAAACTTGGCTGATTCTGCTGTTTAAGGCAAATAAACATTTACCATACCAGCTCTAGTAATGTAAAACAACATCTTATAAGGATTTCTTTGTGTGCAGATGATTCCCTCTTTATAAATTGTGGAGGAGGAGCAAAAACCTTTGAGGATAAAACATATGCGGAGGACTCAACGGGAGGAGGCCCGTCGTCCTTCTTTACATCAGATAGATGGGGTTTCAGCAGCTCAGGAGTGTTCATTTCAAATGATGACACCAAATATATTGCAACAAACATGTTTTCATACACGGGTATTGATGATATTTACCAAACAGCCAGGCTTGCTCCCTTTTCGCTCAAATATTACGGGTTTTGCATGCGACAAGGGAGCTATAAAGTGCGTCTCCACTTTGCTGAAATCATGTTTTCTAATGGCTCCTCATCTAACAGTCTTGGGAGGCGACTATTTGATGTATCAATCCAAGTAAGCCATAAAACTTGAGATCATTTCAGGCTCTTGAAATCTTACAGTGTGACCTATTGGCTATTACATAAGATAATCTCACACTCCACTCATGAAACACAATCTAAGAGTTAATCAGTTTCTGGAAGGATGAAATAGGTTTTTTGTCTCTACAAATATAGTGATTTTGTAAGTCTCGACAATAATGTTTTACATCATTTCATTTTTAAACAATACTTTAATACTATTTCAAAGAGCTAAGCTATTAAGACCTATATACTAAAGATTAGCCCTAACTTCTCCAACAGTCTCCAAGAAGCTACTCCCTCCGGTTCTCAAACAACTTCCCATTTTCCTTTTCGGGAACTCCCAAAATTAACTTCACACTTCTTCTTATTTCTTTATTTGGCAAATTATCTACACCAAAACAGTGCAAAACAGTGTCAAACAGTGCCAAACAGTGTCCAAACAGTGCCAAACAGTGCACTCCACAGTAAAGTCAAATTTATTTTCTTAATCTGTGTGAAGAAGTCAAATTGTGAAGCTCTTTGGAGAACCGGAGGGAGTATAAAACTTGAGGTGCATAGTTATTCAGGTGACATTAATATTTTTTTCTGACCGGAGAGATTCCCTGAAGTTAGACAGAACTAAAAGTAACAGGAAAAGAGATCAAATAGACCCTCTAACTATTTCAAATCTATCACTAAACTCTTTTACTAAATAATGTATCATATAAAAACATTTGAAAAAACAATCAACTCAGCTATTCTACCCATTTTTTTAATAATAAATTAGTAAAAATTATATTTTTTTAAATATATATTATGAAAATAGAGAAGGGTCCAAATACACAGACAATTAAGTAAGTGTTAAAATAAAAAATCAAATAACAAAATTTATATGTAAAGAATATAGAATTAGATTCTAAAAATATTTAAGAGGTGTACAATAAACAAATATTTCAAAAACAGCAAAACGTTTGTAGATTTTGATATTTTTTATTTTAATGCATTTTTTTCTATTTTTCTATTTATGTTTGCTTTCAAAATGTGACCTGATTTTGGAGGTTAAAAACTGGTAAAAAGTTGGATTGAATGTTTTTTTCAAATAAAGTGTGATTATATGATACTTTTGTTAATAAAGGGGTTTAAGTGACAGGTTTGAAATATTAGGAAGGCCTATTTAGACTATTTCTCAAAATTAAAATAGCATATATAGCAGGGATGAAAAGAAAAATAAAATAAAAATAAAGGAATCTAAAACGAAAAGTGTCTTATTGAGTGGACTAAAAGCATGTCTTTCAAGAAACTATGCTAATTTGGCCTTCTCAACTCTTTTGCAGGGAAATGTAGTCTTGACAGACTTTAACATTGTGGCAGAAGCAAAGGGTGCTGGGATTGGAACATATCGAGATTTTGACAATGTTCTTGTCAATGGTAGCAGCCTAGAGATACACTTATATTGGACTGGAAAAGGAACTAATGCTATTCCTATGAGAAGTGTATATGGACCTTTGATTTCTGCCATTACAGTCACTGGAAGTTAGTACTATCTCAGTGTCCATATGCTTCCTGCTTTTCTCACAATAGATTCTGAGCAAACTCATTTTCTTTCATGTAGACTTCAAGACCAGTAAACGTTTAGGTGCTGGAGCAATAGCTGGCATCGTTATTTCTTGTTTTGTGTTCGTGCTGTTAATCATATTTGCTCTGAGGATGAGAGGGTATTTGGGGGGAAAAGTTGAAGAAGACAATGGTAATATCCACCTCATAAATGCATATACTGTGCTCTATTTCTAAAAAAAGTTAATTACTGGAAAAAATCCCCAACTTAATTATAATGTTTTTACTAATCTAGCATATACTTACAAAAAATACATACAAATGCACGTTCTACCAAATTGGTAACTAGAATGTCACTTAGTCACTTTTTCTATTTTCATGCAACGGTTTCCCAATTAAAATGAAATATTTTGTCCAATTCCTAAGCATATGTTAGAATAGGGAAAGTTTTAAAGTCGGATTTTCTTGATAATTGTATATTTTCTTTTATTTTTTTCTGACAGTTCTACTAACCAGCTGTTTATCTGTGACAGAATTGAGAACACTTGATCTACAGACAGGTTATTTCACTCTAAGACAGGTTAAGGCTGCTACAAATAACTTTGACCTGGCTAATAAAATTGGAGAAGGGGGATTTGGTCCAGTATACAAGGTATATACTCAACTTGCCTTGGAGAGAGGAAAGTTGAATTTTACAGCTGAAATACTCTTTTTCATATATTTGCTTAGTCGTATGACCATGTTGGTAGATACAATTTTGGGTAACCATATTTGTTTTGAATCATGGATAGATTGACCATCAAATTTGATTGCAGGGTATTCTTTCAGATGGTGGAATTGTTGCCATCAAGCAACTCTCTTCCAAATCGAAGCAAGGAAATAAGGAGTTCCTCAATGAGATAGGAATGATAACAGCTTTGCAACATCCAAACCTAGTGAAACTTTACGGTTGTTGCATAGAAGGAAACCAGTTATTGTTAGTATATGAATACATGGAAAACAACTCTCTTTCTCGGGCCCTTTTTGGTAAAGCCACAGGCTCTCTTTATCAAAGTAATTCAATGATATCCACTCCATTTTTTCTTGCTGATTATTTGTTTTCTAACATAGGACGCGAGGATCAGAGGTTGGGACTCGACTGGGAAGCTAGGAAGAAAATATGCATGGGAATAGCCAAGGGGTTGGCGTACCTTCATGAGGAATCGAGGTTGAAGATCGTCCATCGAGATATTAAGGCCTCCAATGTGTTACTTGATAAAGATCTAAGTGCTAAAATTTCAGACTTTGGTTTGGCTAGGCTTGATGAAGAAGAGAATACCCACATTAGCACGCGAATTGCGGGAACAGTGTAAACCCTCTTTGCATATACTTAGAATATCTTAGCAATTTACATATGGAGTTAGATATAAACAAGGACATTGAGTTTCAACATATGTTCTTACCAAATTTCCTATCCTACTAATTTTACTCTCTATTTGCCTCTTTTCATTCTCCCGTATTTCTGTGTTTCATAAAAGCACTCACCCTCTTGTTCATGTGACCTTGTATTTCAGAGGTTATATGGCTCCAGAATACGCAATGAGGGGGTATTTGACAGACAAAGCAGATGTTTACAGCTTTGGAATAGTTGCATTGGAGATTGTCAGTGGGAAAAGTAACACGAATTACAGACCAAAAGAGGACTTTGTCTACCTTCTTGATTGGGTAAGCCCATATATGGCTCTCAAACTTAGAGCCCCTTTGTTAATATTTGAATTGACTGAATAGTGTTAATTAAAAGTATCTGGAGAGATTGAATGTTTAATTACCTGAAAAGATATGCAGTAATTTTTGCATGGGGCAAAACAATAAAAATATGACAGAATTTTCATTTCATTGTAATAATAAAAAATCAGATTAAAAAGGAGAAAATCTCAGTTGTTAGTTGAAAAGCCTGAGCAGCCGACTCAATATCATGTTAGAGTGTTTAATCTTTTTTTGAATTTTTTGGGGCTAATAATCCCATTTAGGCATACCAAACGGGCTCATGGACTTATAGTTCCTTTCCCCCTTTCTTTTTCCAATTATACAGCTTTCTTGATAATATTCCTTTTATTTGTAAAAATAAAGGCCTATGTCCTAGAAGAGCAGGGAAATCTGTTAGATCTTGTGGATGAAAGTCTGGGTTCAAACTATTCTAAAAAAGAAGCAATGAGGATGCTAAAGTTGGCCCTTTTATGTGCCAATCCATCACCAACTCTCAGGCCATGCATGTCTTCAGTAGTTAAAATGCTGGATGGGAAGATGGCAGTGCAAGCTCCAGCTGCAATCAAGCCTGCAAAGTCAAATGGTGATCCTAGGTTTAAAGCCTTGGAGAAACTGTCCCATGACAGCCACACTCATACTTCATCTACAACAATCTCCCAAGACACTACTAGCCATTTCCAGAGAAGTGTTTCACTTGGAGCCCCGTGGACGGGTTCCTCACATTCATTCCCTTCAAGGGAAGACACCCAAGATATTTCCCCTACTACTAAACTGCTCTCTGATCTTTACGAAATCAACATAGATTGACTGAGGACTGAAAATGTAGTACAGGAAAGTGAAACTTGTACAAGGGCAGGGCATTATCTCTTTTTGATCACTTCAGCCAGTAATGATATTAAGTGCTTTCATGTATGTAGATAGATTCAAATGCACATTTTTTCTGGGGGATAAGATAGGAATTCCTTACTGATCTTCCCTGTGTCATATTTGTAGAATTGCTAAGAACTTCAGATAGGTTGTATACCGGAGATGAAAAAGAAACTGACTTTTGTGCCTTTTGGAGAAAAAAGACGTTTATGCGGAGAACAGGATGTACAGTCCTTTAAATTAGAGTTTAAGCCCAAATAAGAAGTATAATACGTAGGACTTTTTTTCGCATTCATTGCAAAATTCATTTTGTTCTTTGGTCATCATAAAAGTTGTAATCAAAAAAGCTGAAAAGTACTATGGAGTATGCAAGTATGTAAGAGTTAATAACTAGGGAGAAAAAGTAACAATGAAAAAAATAGAGAATATTATCATAGATATATGAGGGGTAAATAACATAAGCACTATTATCACTATATTTTTTTGATCCTCACATTAATAAAATATTACTCCGTATCATTTTAATCTTTATTCTAAATAAATAGCAAAGGTAAATGCAAATTAAACTTAAATAAACAATCAAAAATAAAAATCTGCAATAAATGATAATAAGCAACATGATGCAACAAACGATACAACAAAAAACAAAACAATGTAACAAAATATCATGATGAACAATAAACAACATGTGCACACAACAAAACGTAATACTAGTACGATATACCATGGTGAAGTATCACAACAAATATATAATTCAACCTATTATTTCAATTTATTACATAGATCTATTATATAATTTCAGCTTGGTTCTTCTCATTTCTTCTTCATTTTACGCATCTCATTACAGTAGTCATGCGGTTTGTCTCTTGTCTTCATTTTCTTGATTGATCTTCATGTACTTCCTTTTTCCATCATTTTCAATGGAGCCAAAGACTTAGTATTGTTTGGCATGAGAATATGATGGAATAAAGCAAAATGGCTCACTAAAATGCATGTCTGCGTTTCTTTGTTATGAAGTAGCAGTCAGTCCATGCAATTTTCAAATCGACTTTCACTATGGGTCATCTGGAAACGGTCACTGTGCTTTTTAGTACATGGGTAAAACTGCGTACATCTGACCCTCCTACCCCACCATAGGTGGGAGCCTTTGCGACACTGAGTTGTTGTTGTTGTTGATGATGATGATGATGATCTTCATGTGCTTTCTTTTCACGTGTGCACGTCGAACTCAAATGCAATCAATATAATACGGAGTACAACAATTGCAATATCTCCCCGTCCCGGAAAGATTTGCCAAATTGACTTTTCTTGGTCAATGACAACCAAGTTTGATCAATGATATTTTTTAATATGAAATTATTTTGAATATGAAAATTATATCAAAATGTTCCTTATTCAAAATATTTTAATAAAAGTATAAAATTTAAAAATTATATATAAGTATAATCATTCAAATCAGTGTCCAAAATTTGTCATCATTGACTAATAAAAGTCAATATGGAAACATTTTCGGAACGGAGGTAGTATAAAATCAAAGTCATATTGCAAAAGACTTTGGGGTCGGCAATCACTATAATTCAAATTCAGAATAAATCATTAGAAGGAATCACTACACCTATAAGGAAAAGGGATATCAAAATTTAGCAAAGGTTGTGGTAACAACTAAACAAAAAATGTTACACACCATCTTGACACAAGTCAATGGAGAGGCATAAGAGAAAAATATTCCACATTTATAAAAACTTGGAAATTGATGTTTGTACACGCCAAGTTGTACATGACAAGTTATACATGCCACATTTTTATTTGTTCAGAGATACATTTTTGTTCTGTAAAGAGATTTATATGTCATACCGACAATTTGGAGAGTCTCTTGATAACAAATTACAAAAAAATACATGTACTCAAACTATTTTTCATTCAAATATTGACTATAGTTTCTTCCACGCTTGAGAATTGTATTGTTGTTAATTTTATCGACATCATAAGCCAACAAGTTATTATTTTCATATCATTATTTGATTTTTTGTTTTGCTTCATCAAATTTAGTAATTTTTGTGTGGTTCGAAATGGTTCTACTTTTTTTGTTACTTTGTCATTTCAATATTAACATATACATAAACTCGGTGTTAATATTTATATCACCTCCTTATGGACCAAATTTTGAGGGATCTAGAGTAGTACTCCCTTGATTGAATGAACTTTACTAACTTTGATACTTTCCCTTAAACACTTTCCACTAAAGTAATAAATTTGAATCAACTTTTTGAATCTTTTCTATACAAATTTCAATGATTGTGTTTTGTTACTTTTCTTATTTTAAACCATACTCAGAGTATGATTTCCCATGGGATGAAAATGGAGTAATATTAAAACTCCGTCGTTCCATCGTGGACTACATATCATTATATAATCGGTAAAGGTTGTGCCTTTCTGATCGAGTCGAGTCGCTCCACTAAGTTGCAGAAGAAATCATTTGCAGAAGAAATTAAAATGAGTTATGTTGCAGCTGCCCTTATCCTGGGCGCTTTTCTTCCATGGAATTTTTTCATTTGTCTCACTTCTTCCGCCCCTCTCTTGCCTGTACATGAAGGCTCCGTAAAGGAGTCATGTAAAGGGTTAGAAATTCATTATATATATCACTTTATCTCTCTAGCTCCCCCTTCTCTCTAGGAGTTAATACTCCATCAACTTTTATTCATATTTAAGAAAATAGGCTTAAAAGTTTTGTTTCTAAGGGTTAAGGTACAAATATACCCTCCAGTTATATGTTAATGAACACTTATGCCCTTCATCTTTATTTTAGCACTAAAAACTGCCGAAAACATCAGCCCTGTTTGTACTTCAACGATTTAGAACCAAACCGCTGCAAAATGTAGCGTTTTCCTTTGACAAAAATGGCTATTTGGAGGTAAAACCGCTGCTACCCAAACATTTCGTCAATTTAAACTCCAAAAAGTAACTAATGGTCTAACGTCATCATACCTTCAACTTTCAATAAAGCCATACAATATACAGTGAGGAAGAAGAGTTCAAAAGTCTGATGTGAAAGAATTCAAATAAATCAATGGCGATTTTGATTATTCTTTTGATTTTGTTTGGATTAATGACCAATGTTCCAATGATTTCCACTCTTAGAAAAGACTTCCCAGTTCCACAAACTACACTTCTGCTCTAACTTTCTAATTTCTATCAAACATCCACTGTTTTTCAATGTTCTTCCATATTATTACACGTATTGCAGTTTCTATGACTTCAGTTTTTGCCGAATAAAATCTACTGTTATGAAATGTATTCTTGAACGAAGTTTCACATTTTTCAAGAACACATAAAATTTAATGACATTTAACTTTCCCATAGGGGCGTGGCCCTAGGTCTAAAAAATGAAAAAAATTAGTTGATTGAAAAAAAACAGTGTTTTTATCCATATTTTGGTGTAGTATTTTCCCGATTTAATTTTAAATTGAAATTTTGTGTACATAATCTACACATGATGAAGGACATGCTCAAAATATTTCGTAAAAAATTTCCACTTAGAAGCATATTACTCTGATATGATTATTTAACTAGTGTATTAATTGATTTTATTCATAATTGATTGTTTGATTTCTTAGTTGTTAATTGTTATCTATTGAATGTTGGTGTTATGATTTGTTGATTTTGTTAAACAAAATATTTCAATGATAATTAAAGTTATAAATTTAATTAGTTTCAAGATGTAACAAAAATGATTGAATCTGGATAGGTTAAAGAAAAAGAATGGAGAATATTAGAGAAAGCAGCGCTGAGTAAAAACATATCAATGAAAGAGTTTGTACAAAGAAGTCAAATTCTGAATGTCTTACTTATGATGAGAACTCAGAGAAAAAGAGTGATTCAGCTAGAGAAATTGAAACGATTCAGAGTTATCACATTATTGGAGAAAGAAATTTAGGAGGTGGTAATAATAGAGTTAATTGCTTAAGTAAGACTATAATATTAGTAAAGTGAACAAGTAGACCACCATTTTTCCACCCCTGAATAAGGGCCACCAACGCTATAATAATTTTAGTTTGACAAAAGATTGTTTTACTCCGTACAATTTTTTATGAACGTTTTCAAATATTATTATTATTACTCCCTTCGTCCCAAAAAGGTTTGCCAAATTGACTTTTCTTGGTCAATGACATTCAACTTTGACCAATGATATATTTTAATACGAAATTATTTTGAATATGAAAATTATATCAAAATGTTCCTTATTCAAAATATTTTCATAAAATTATAAAATTTATAAATTATATTCAAATATAATAATTAAAATCATTGTCCAAAGTTTGTTATCATTGCCCAAGAAAAGTCAATGTGGCAAACCTTTTCGGGACAGATGTAGTATTATACTTGGTACATGTTAGTTCAGAAAGAAAATGATTTTACAATTTTTTTAAAATTTTTTGTCCCTAAACATTCGAAAACACTCCCCCACTTTTATATGTTGATCACAATTCTTTAATGAAGTTGTATGACTGTATGAGCTTCTCTTGAAATGACGATGTGGCTTCTGTTTAGCCATGCATTTTAAATATATTACTGCGTACATAATATGTTGTCTCCTAAATTAATGAAGATGTTTGGTCTATCGATAATGACGCACACGTGGATGATGTGTGGTTATCAATGAAGTCCACCATTAACAAAGTGACGAATGAGATACTCGGAGAATCTAAAGGATGTCTACCACCAAAAAAGGACACATCTTGGTGGAATGATGAGGTGAAACAAGCAATAAGGACCAAAAGAGAATGCTATAAGAAATTGGGCAAAAGTTGGAGTGATGAGAACATAGAGGAGTACAAAGAGACTAGAAGAAGAGCAAAGAAAGCTGTGAAGGAAGCCAAAGGAAAAGTGAATAAGGAATTGTATGTAAAGTTGGATTCTAAGGAAGGAGAAAAAGATATCTATAGACTTGCTCACCTTCGTGACCGTAGGACTCAAGATATCGGAAAAGTTAAGTGTGTGAAGGATGTCGATCAAAGGGTACTAATGGACGACGAAGAAATAAAAGAGGTGAAGGTCATACTTTGATACCTTGTTCAACGGGAATAAAGTCCAAGGTATTGGTGATCTTACTATACCAGAGTGTATGGTAAATAGGGACTTCATGAGAAGAATTCAAACAACAGAAGTTAAAGAGGCTATGAGAAAAATGGGCCGAAAGAAAGCAGTGGGCCCAGATGGCTTACCGATCGAGGCTTGGAGAAGTTTGTGAGAGAAAGACATCGAGTGGCTAACATGTTTTTTCAACATGATTTGGAGAAACAAAAAATTGCCAGGGAGTTGGCGGAAGAGTACTCTCATTCCCTTATTTAAAAATAAGGGTGATGTACAAGAATGTGCTAACTATCGAGGGATTAAGCTTATGAGTCACACCATGAAACTTTGGGAGCGAGTGGTTGAGCAAAGACTACGTAAAAGTGTGAAAATTTCGGAGAATCAATTTGGTTTTATGCCTGGACGCTCAACAACTGAGGTCATTCACCTTCTTAGACAAGTTGTAGAGAAGTATAGAGACACTAAAAAGGATCTGCATTTGGTGTTCATTGACTTAGAAAAGACATATGATAGGGTACCTCGAGAAGTTCTTTGGTGGGCCTTAACTAGAAAAGGCATAGCACATAAGTATATCAACATCATCATGGATATGATTGATGCTTGTAATACAAGTGTCCACACTAGTGTAGGGAGGACCGCAGTGTTCCCTATTACTATTGGAGTGCACCAAGGATCTGCTCTGAGTCCTTTCTTATTTGCTTTAGTCATGGATGAACTTACAAAGTCAATTCAAGAAGATATACCGTGGTGCATGATGTTTACCGACGATATTGTATTGATTGATGAGACACAATCCGGTGTCAAAGCAAAGTTGGAAGTATGACGACAAACATTGGAGAGCAAGGGTTTCAAACCGAGCCAAAGCAAGACTGAGTATATGGAGTGCAAGTTCGGTGGAGGTAGAAGCAGTAGCAACAGTGGGATTACTCTTGATGGTAAGGAGATACCGGTGTGTGATATGTTCCGTTACTTGGGATCCATAATTCAGAAGGATGGTGAATTAAATGGAGATGTATGTCATAGAATCAGAGCTGGGTGGATGAAATGGAAAAGTGCTTCAGGATTTCTATGCGGTCGAGGTATGCCAACTAAAATGAAAGGTAAATTTTATCGTACAACAATTAGGCCGGCATTAATGCATGGCGTAGAGTGTTGGGCGGTGAAGCAATGACACATTCAAAAGATGAGTGTGACAGAGATGCGTATGTTGGGTTGGATGTGTGGATATACCAGAAAAGACCGCCTGAGGAATGAGGTAATCAGACAAAAGGTGGGAGTAGCACCTATAGAAGATAAGATGCAGGAGTCTCATTTGCGGTGATTTGGGCATGTGCATAAAAGACCGAATGATGCACCTCTTAGACGACTTGAGGGGTGGGGAGAAGAGTCAGAGAAGAGAGGGAGGGGAAGACCCAAACAAACTTGGATTAGAGTAATCAGAACTGATATGCGTCTTCTTGGGTTGGATGAGAGCATGGCTTTGGAGAGCAAAATGGAGAGCGCACATCCATGTGGACGATTGATGTCTTGTCTACCTTTCCTCTCTTGTTTCTTTTATCATTTATCTTCTTTATCTTTTTATATTCTTATGTTATTTTTATCTTCTAGCTTTTTTATGTTCTTTTATTTATTTTTCTTTTATCTTGGTTATATTCTTGTGTTATTGTTATTTTATATTTATGTATCTTTTTTTTATTCATTTTATCTTACTTTTTTTCCTTTTCTTGTTAGCCTTCTCTTTTTGACATCGATATCATAGATCGATTCATGTTAGCCGATCTCAAATTCTTTTGGGATTAAGGTTTGGATATTGTTGTTGTTGTATCTATATATTTTGAGAGAAATAATAAAGTGGGTAAAGAAATCCATTTGCGAAAAAATTGATACGGAATAGAACAAGTCAAAAAAGTATGATAAAATGGGATTTGACGGCAACGGCCATGGCCTAAAGGAAGGAAAGGGTATATTTTTTGTACTCAAAACTAGATGAGGGGTTATGTATATATGTTCTCTATGACATTGTTGAGGGGTATATATGTTCCATATTCCTATTTCTAACGAAAACCCGGGGATTTAGGGAATAAATCTAACTCCCCATAATAGTAATTACTAGTTTCCTCTACTTTCTGCTGCGAAACAGTTATTGAATCTTCCATACGCTCATTTTCATTTGGTCGATTTTTCCCCTGCTGCAAAACAATTATTGAATTTTCAACATTCTCGTTTTCAATCGGTTGACTTTTTCTCTGCTGCGAAACAATGCTTGAATCATCAATACGCTCATTTTCAATTGGTTGACTTATTCTCTGATGCGAAACAGTTATTGAATCTTCAATAGGCTCATTTTCACCTGGTTGATTTTTTCCCAATTGCGAACCAATTATTGAATCTTCAATATGCTCATTTTCAATTGGTTGAACTTTTGGAAGTGCAAATCTGAGAAGTGATTTGCCAATGACATCACTAATGTCTGCAGCTTCTCTGCAGGGACTTTCAAAAATTGTAGACCCCTCATCTCGTTTTCGTTTTATTCGACATAGGACATAATCCTTCAATGGTGCCTACATTCAGAAAGGCGTGATAGACTACAGTTAGTTTAAAGTCAACAAATTGGGCTAGAGGTAGGGGGTGGAACCACTCTCCAACTATCGATAGTTGGTAGAAGAAGCCCGGGTTCGACCCAATTAATTTCGGGTTTGGGCCGGTTCTGGATATCAAGGTGGTCCAAACCCGGCCCCATTCTATTTTCTTCATTACCCCTGTTTCCAAGTCAAATTGATATTAATACATTAATACATACTTCATATTGACGAAAAATTATCATCAATATTTTAATCACACACATATTTACTTTTTGTTATTTTCCTTTCCATCTTTCTTTTTTGTACTTTCCATTTGACTCATCTTTAATAAATTACCTTTTTCTTGAATACATATCAAATAGTATGATATGGCATAGTATGGTATGACCGTATGATAGGGTATACTATAGTGTATATGTATATATGTATATATATATATATATATATATATATATATATATATATAATACTCCCACTGTCCTTTAAAATTTTATTAACCTTTTTTGTCCCGCTATTTTTGCCATTGTATCTTTTACGTAAGAAATTTGTGCTTCAAGCTAATTCTCTCTCATCTGCACAAACCTCAACCACACAATTTTTATTTCATGTATCGATCAAACTTGGTCAAGTTTTGAGGAACGGATGAAGTATAATTTAGGCAAGAATAATTTAAATTCCCTAAAATTTGAAGGATGTGAGATAAACATTCCAAATTTACATATATAATGTACTTATCATTAAATTTATATAAAAGTTATGTTAACACTAAATTATGTTCTTTTCACTCACAAATATAAATACAGGTGTTAATCACATGATTTAAAATACTCAAAGCAGAGAAGTAGTTAAAATTCAAAGCTTTGATTAGTGCTAATAACTCTAATCTAGGTAGTCGCGGCAGTTTTAATTTGATATTTACCAAGACATGACCTTTGCAATTAACATAATTAATAGATTATTGATGATTAGTAAAGATTGTAAGAAAAACATATTTCGAATTTTCATTTGAGACAAACTTTATACAAACTTTATGTAGTCCCTCCGTTCTTTTTTAATTGCAACGGTCAACATTTCACATTTGTCAACGCACGTCTTTGACTGTAATTATATCTTAATTCTATTAGTAAAAAATATATTAAAAATCAGATTTTGAAAATTTGTAATGAGATGAATTGAAAAATATTTTTAAAAAAAAAATAATTTTCATAAAATAATAGCGTAAAATGTAATCAAGTAGAACATGTAAATAGTGTAAAATTCAACATGTTGCGATTAAAACGAAACGGAGGATAGTATTATATATAGAAAAGTTATTTAGTATATTAATATATTATTGAATAAAGTGTAATTAAGGTAGATTGTTTGAATGGTATAAAAGATAGTGCCTAATCTCAATGCCATGACTCCCATGACTTATACTTTCTTTAGTAAGTGTGCACTGTGAATTTGAAACTATTTACTTAATCTACTTTGACACTTACATTATTCATTTTGATTGCACTTTAATTATTAATGTACAAATAATTATTCTATATAAAAGATTTTAAAACTTGTCTCAGATTAAAAATCTTAATTTTTTTATTATTGTTACTAATAGCAGTTAAATATGTTGATCCTTAAAGATGTTGAAAAATAAAATATTAAAAGTATAGACCAGAAGCAATATGATTTATTTAACAAATGGATGCTTAAATTGTTAATTGTTTCCCTACAAACGCTTAGTATCTTAAATTATGTATTGAAGATCATAAGTTTGCATTATGAAAGAAAAAACATATGTTCTTGCTACAAACATTACTTCTTGTATAAAGTTCGAGTTATACATATATGACATCACACTCCTTAAAGTTTATTTTATTTAAATGTGAAAACTGCCAATTTGGTCCTCGTACTATCATGAAAAAGTCAATTAAATCCTCCTACTTTAAAAAAAATCCCCGAATTTTGTAAAAATGTTCAATTGAGTCCATCAGAAGGTTATCCCACCACGTCAGCATGTCACCTGCTGAAGTTGCAAACATTGGCAGCCCAGTCAGCATTGACTTTGCTAACGTGGCGCACACGTGGAAGTATAGCCCGTCATTTACTAAGGATATGGTGAACACATGGACTGCCAGAGCCGTCTCCAGAAATTTTGGTGCCCCAGACAAAAAATGACTAATGAGATCAAATAGTACTTCAAATTAATAACTTAATTAAATATGAAGTAATTAGAAAATTATAACATCATTTTTTACTCAATGTAAAAAGAAATACTTAACTTAAAATTGATATAAAGTATGTGAATATATATTGATGGATCATCGGACCAGGGGTGGCCGGAATCCACCGAGAATAAGAGAAGAGAGGGAGAGAGTGAACTGGTTTGCAAGTCTTACAGTATAAAATTCAGAGTGCGATTCATTAAGCACTCTTTATCCACAAGTTGGAAGGTGATATTTATACTAAGGAGAAAAGGAAATACTTGGTGCCCAAGTAAAAATATGTTAGTCTAATAGGAGGGGGCACGTGTAAAGTTACTCCAACAAACTAACAGCTCAATCCGATGGGGAGCAGCCACGTGTAAAACTGATTGGAGAGTGAGCCTTCAACAGCTGGCTGATTGGAGTGTGCTCCTAACAGAATTGCTGCCAGAAATCTCGTGTGGTTAAGCGTGGGTATTTGAGGATATTCCCTGGTGACGTGGCGATCTCTCCTTTGAGGGGTAGATCCTTGCGTATTCTGTCTAAGTCCATGATGCTTTATCCAGACCTCGGGGTTTGCTGAGGTCGATACCTGGGAGCTCGGGAGTTCGGGCTCGTGATGGGAGGACCCGCCTCCCAGGTGTTCGACTGCCTGATACCTGACTGTCGTTGACCAACTGTTTGACTGTTGTTGACTTCCAGGGCCAGACCTGGTCCCGACCTCAGATGCATCGAGGTCGGGCTCATAAGTTGCTGAGTTCGGTTGATCCCTGAGCCTGATGTCTTCCCGACCTCGAGGTCGGGCTCTGCCAGCCTTGTCATTCGTTGAGTTCGATTGATTCCTGAGCTTGGTGTTTTCCTGACCTCGGCGATCGGAGTCAGCCTTGGAGTGAGGACTTTAATATTCCGCTTAATTCAGAATGCATGTGGGAAAAAATCCTAACGGAGGAAAAAGAGTATACTCCGCTTTGTCATGAAGTCCGGAGAGGAAAGCGATGCCCCGCTGCAGAGAAGTCCGAGCTCGAGCTTCGTGTATTCCGCGTTCCAAACCTGCCTCATGGGTTAGTTGCTACATCCCGTCCCCAGCCGCGGGTTGATAACATTTTTGAAAAAATTGTAAGGAATTTTAATCTATGTACGAAGCTTGAAGATATACATGTTCGGTGCTGAGCCCGAGGTGGCTACGTTGTTCTGAGCTTGTTTGTTGTAGTCTTGTTTTTGCTGCTTTTTGATTTCTTTCCTGAGTCCCCCACTTACCAGTCCCCCACTCTTGTGGACTTTGAATATTTTCTAAGTGCGGAAGAGTATGAGTTTGAGGGGGACGAGGCAGTTGCATTTATCGCTTGGTGGACTTGGGAGAATTTGTGGTGTGTATTAACGCTGATGTGTACAAATAGGAATCTTTACACATTCCTTTTGCAACATTATGAATTAATAGCCGTTTCTCAGCATTTAATGCGAGAGATGGCGTTTGAAGTGAGAGTACGGCGCCAGCATTGCACCTTTTTTGCACGCCTTTTTGAAAAAACCTTTGAGTTTTTTGGGCGGCTGGAAAGTATTGCGCCACGTGTAAGCTTCTCGTTCCTTTTTGAAGGGAAGTATAAAAGGCGAAAGCTTTCAGAATTCTCAAGTAATCCCCGAGCTTTTTCCTCTCCGGTCAGTGTTTTCGAAGTTTTAGCTTTCTCCGTCGACTTCCCGCTCAAGGTTAGTCTCCGGCTCCGCCTGTTCGTTCTATGCTTATCGCAGCTTTGGCCGGAAAACCCGGAATGAGGGTTTTTCCGTCACACTGGTGTTGTGAACATTGGGGGGTTTACAGTCCCCCATTCTTGATGAGGTTGGCACCTCTGGACTCCGAATCGCATGCTAGTGCCGATTCGAGTGTTTGATTTTTGTTTGGAGGTCGGACTACTGGTCCTTAACCCCAGACTTTGATTGTCTGCGTGTTCGTATTTTTTCTACAAGTTTTGAAAATGTCTTCTTCAAGTGCTTCTGCTAACACCGGAGATAGAGCTAGCAACGACCTGCCCCTGGGGTATGATGATGATGTCGTGATGAGGGAAGCGGGTCTGAATGACAACCTCGCGGATGCTACCTCCGCGCTTGAGGCTGTGCCGTTGAATGCGCGACCGGGTCGCAGGGCTCCCGTTAGGAGGAATGTTAAGGAGAGTGCCGAGGTTTTCACTTTGGATGGCTTTACCGCGTCGACGATTGTTTGTTCCCTGTCGGATACGGAATGGGAGGAGGCTAGGCGTTTTTGCGGGCCTAGCGTGGTTTTGTTGAGGCCGGAAGCTGGTGAGCCGCCCTCTTCTTGCCCCTCGGGATTTTTCATTGCTTACTATGACGCCGTCAAGCATGGCTTCCGGTTCCCCCTGCACCCCTTTTATGCTGAATATTTGGATTGGGTTGGTTTGCTTCCTTGTCAGCTTACTCCCAACAGGTTTTACTATATAGGTGCTTTCCTCCTGCGCTATGTGGATTTGAAAATCACTCCCAGCGTGGGTCTATTTCGCCATCTGTTCAATATTGGCTGTAACCCGTCAAAGGGGAACCAAAGCTATGCTTCTGTTGCCTAGGTCGGGGCTGTAGTGTGTTTATCAACACCCCGACCTCATATCGCGGCTGAAGGGGCAGATTTTTCTATGTCTGCACAAACCGCCAGGAAGCATCGGTGGTGTCGCCGTTCTCCACCGATGTCTCGGTCCTTACTCGAGAATCAGTGACTACTCGGAAGCATAACGCAGGTGATCCGGGTGAGCATGCTGACGATGTGAAGAAGTACTTGAAGCTTGATCAATG